ATTTTGTCATATGTCTCCTATTCACTATTAGACATTTTTACATATAATTGTAATAAATATTCATTCATTTCATTTCATAAGACTCATATAACAAAAAATTTGTTTAATGTTTTATATTCGTATTAGTATCGATTTAACTTTAATATCGCATTATTATTTTATTTATTTCTGTTACAGTTTTTATATTTTGAATGTGTATTTCTGCGTTACAGTAGTTATATTTTTTTTATAATGCTCAAACCTATGAATGACATCAGAACCGTCTAAATTTTGAATTTTTAACATCAATAAAAGGATTCCTTCCATACCACCTTTATTTAGTATATTTATGCGTGCATTAGTAAGTAATCATTAAATTAACACCTTACATACACTTCGCTACACAACCATTGTATCGAACAAAACAATTGTAGTTAATTTGCTTATTAGCTATTCACTAATGGGAAACGTTAGAAGCATGAATTTGTAAATTTTCTGATTCGACGCAACGTAAACTAAATTGATGATGTATTAATGTTGCTATTTATGTTATGTGTTTTTGTGTTACGGAGTAGTAGATTACTACTACAATGAGATGACTGCTAAGTCGTCTTCCTACAACGTTCCTAAATTTGACGGATGTCGTAAACATTGGCGCAGGTTTAATTATAAGAAACTTAGAATAATTTTAACTAATCAATTCTGTCGAATGTTCTCGTCATTTGTTATAATTTTGCAATCGATAGTATTTATTTCCGTGTCTGTTCTAGTTCCATTCAGTTGCATTACGATTGAACTGTTTATTTCGGTTTTGACCAATGTATTAATATATAATTCCCTACTAATATTATAAAGTATCACTGTCTGTCCATTTGTTGTCTTTTTGCTATTATACAGGCGAACGGATCGGAATTAAATTTGATATTAAGATAGTATTATGAGGACGGACATCTGCTTTATATCAAAAAAGCTAATGAAGTCGCGATTAACTACTAGTAATATATAATAATATTGGTTAACGGAGATAGAAATTAGTCCTTCTTAATGCCCTTAATAATTGTGTATGCCAAATTTCACGATTGATTATGTAGTTTAAGCGTTAAGATATAATTGACAAACAAATAAATGAACACACTTTCTCATTACAATATATTATGAGGATGTATATTATTACAATATATTATTGAATAATTATCCTATACCGATAAGAGGTAATTAAACTTGCAGGTCATCATAACAGATGCACGCCTCTACAGGAAATTAGGACCTCGGTCATTATTGACTCATCTCGTTCGATGATACCGATAACCCGACCAAATTGTATAGACTCTATTCACATACATTTTTAGAAGTTTAGTGAACTCGACAGTTGGCAAGGTTATCGCGTTTGCCATACAAAGTAAGGGTCAGACAGTAATGTAGGTTAAATTGTGTTCTGAACGTGTATTATAGCGGTATGTATCTTTCTTTAAGTGGTAAATATCCCATGATTGAAGGAAGGAGGACTAAATTTTTTTTATACCAAAATACTGGAAACAACAGCATATCCTATTTATTCAACAAAAAATTATATTTACTAATACAATGAATAACCAGGATATGTTGTTGTCTTCTTTCGCCCGTCTTGACTGACGCGAAATCGTGGCCAAATTTGGACTGATTGAAAACTATTCACTTTTTGCACAGTACATATATTATTATATAGTCTGATCACGTATTCGTCAGGCAGAAATTGGTCTTCAGCCACAGCATTAAAACCTTCCGCTGATTGAGTTTACGCTGTAAAGACCAGCTAAGGCCAACAGCATTGGAATAGTTCGCAAAAAAGTAGGAAATTACAATATCAATTTCTAAAGCATTTAATATCTTTCAAAGCCAATTAACCTGAGGCAGTTAACGGATTAATAGCACACATAAAGCTGACACAGACCTCGTAAATATCAGATGTGGGTTAATTGCTGTTTTATTTTGCGATGATATCGAGATGTGACCCCAGACAATGATTTCTGAGGCCAGTTAAATCGTGGGAAGCCATAAAAACCGATTGAATCAAAGCGGTGGCTAAGACAGTTATAGGTAGGATACATATAGCAGCCTCAGAATTAATTCTGTTCATATGAATCTAAATTAAAATTTGTCGTTTGTTTTTTTGTTTGTACTATTAAAAAACTAAAGAAACACAGTATTACATATAAATACAGTAATCTTAAGAATTTAAAGAATGAACGAAAGGAGAAATTGTATAGAAAATATAATACTTACAAGCAAAAGTTCTCAATTCTGTTATGTTTGTTTTGTATGTTATTTTGCGTGTTACAGTAGGTAACATACCTAATGTAACACGCAAAATAACATACTATATGTATATTCGAGATACGAAACACAGACTTAATATTACGTAGTTTTCAAAAATATCTACCTTAATCTTAAGGGAGTTATTTTTGAAAGCTTAAAATTTTATTATAAAATATACTTAATTAAATCTAGACACACTGCAGTTATTTTGCTGCAGATTAATTGAAACTAATTAAAATCTTAAATATATTCATTTTAACAACTTTGAGTGTTGTTGGTGACAGTGATAATTTTATTAGATTCTTTTATATCAAAACAGTTATTGGCACTGTTGCGGGTGAATAATACGATGTTGCTGGTCGAGACGATGTATATTACAGATGATGATAAACTGACAATGTGTACATAAAAATAATGATCTTATATACTAAATAAAAGTAGGAAAATGTAAGGTGGGGTGACACAGTTTAGATACAGCAGTGCCTAGTAGACAATATTGAATTTGTCTTACTAGACATTATTAAATGCAATTATTATTTTATGTATCTAGGTGACTGTGTCCCATAGATATTCCCCCCTTGAGAGAAAAATATATATATATATATTACACACAAAAAAATTATAAAAGTTAACTGTAAAATTTAAGATATTATGCACTTTTGTAACAATAAAAATTCATTATACCCAAATAACGACGTAAATCTTCGACTGTCGTGGGTTTAGGGTACTCGTCGATTGCTTGCCATTTTTCTTGCGTCGGTTTCATCCCTTGGCTCGTTATATGATAACCAAGAAAATCTAACTCATTTGTGAAGAACTCGCATTTGCTCATATTAATTGTTTGCGGCGAATAGTTTGAATTCGCTAGCGCTCTCTTTGGTCTGTGCTTGTTTTAAAAAACACCGAGATTTTTTGCTCCGGTGCCCACCAAAATTCTATAGCCACTTTTAGAGTCGGTTATAGCTAGGCGGTTAGACGGATGAACAGCACAGCGTTCCGTCTTATTCTGCGTCGAATCTAGTTTTCCGACGGTTGTCCATAGGAGCGCGGCATGTCACATTTGTATGCCTTTTCTTTATATTTGCTATGATATAATATAAATAATAGTCATTTTTCCGACTATGCAATGACCGTAGGTGCGAATTTGACCTAGATCGGTAGTTGCTGCGTCTGTTTGTGTGTGGCGAGTGCTTTTCGCGTATATCAGCAATTTCTGATGGCAGTGTCGCAATTAGTGACGACAGGTGTGCAATGACGTCGGCGGTGACTGTTGGCTGTACTCTTGTTGACAGCATTTTTGCTTTATTTTTCCAGTTTCAATTTTTCGTCCAGAGATTATATCCAGCAGGCAGTTGTGTTTACTGGGGGTCAGTAGCACGGCAGGATCCTTGTTGCGCAGTATTGCCAACGACTTTTATGCCTCTTGAATTTCCGAGCCGGTGAGACCCGCTTCTGGGAAGCCGGTGGAAATGTGCAATCGTTGGTGGTGCGCAGGATGCCGTCAGACAGAGATCTCTTGTTTGATCTCGTCGTTTTCCCAGGTATCGTCTCGACCACGTCGGCCAGATCACGTCGGGTAGATCACGTCGGGCAGATCACCACTGTTGCGGGTGAATAATACGATGTTGCTGGTCGAGACGATGTATATTACTGATGATGATAAACTGACAATGTGTACATAAAAATAATGATCTTATATACTAAATAAAAGTAGGAAAATGTAAGGTGGGGTGACACAGTTTAGATACAGCAGTGCCTAGTAGACAATATTGAATTTGTCTTACTAGACATTATTAAATGCAATTATTATTTTATGTATCTAGGTGACTGTGTCCCATAGAATCACGAATAAACAATTAAAACTATTGCTAAATGAATTATTATTGTATATTATATTATATCGTTATTCCACATTCTGTATTAATATTAATTAATAGATTATAAAAATGTAAATTACTTAATACGGTCTTGAATGAAAATATTGTAGGTATAGAATTTCTAAAATTAGAATTCTCTAATATAACATTAATTATATCAAGAAATTTCTTTTCTTTTGACATTGTATTGGATTGTATAAATAGACAATAAAATAAGACTCGTGTGTTTATATATTGACAAGACAATACCCATGGACTTGGCATTGGCCATAAATCTAAGAACTAAAAGAATAGGAGCGTGGCAGCACAGTCTATCGACCTTTGCCTATTTAAAAATTAAATAAATACATTACTAACGTATGATTCTTGTCTGTCTCAGTACCGTCATAGCCACGTAGTAATTATTTACTCAATGCTTATAACCTTCACTCATGATGAGGCAGAACGTCTGTTTAATGATATAATTCAACTGACGTAGTGTTAAGCAACTTGCTTTGTAAAATATGCTTCGGTTGAAGAGTGAGCTATGGCAGTAAAATTACAAGGTTACATTATGAAGGCATGATATTTTAGTTCTCTGGAATGGCAACGCAGGGGGGGTACCACATGGGTTATATAATGACGTGATATTCGTGATGCTGTTTATGTATATATATGGGCGACGGTTATCAATTATATTTTTTTATATATCTGGAATGGCATGCAAACTGACGGCCATAGTAAGTAGTAACCGTCGCTTTTATACATCACCATTAGTTGTCGCCTGTTTCGTCTTTTACATGCCACAAAAATATTTTATTAATGCTCTTTGTAGTTATTGTAAATAAATATTTTTTTCTTTCTTTACAGATAAAGCCTGAAGGAATGGAGAAATCGTCGGCAACCGCCGATATATTTTTATCAAGTTTATTATGAACTAGCCAATCGAGCAAGCATAAGCGAAGCTACCAAACGCTGTTATGTCTATCTGTGATCGCTCGCATCTAGTGATAATTGTATTGTGATAAATCCATGTTTTCTCTCGTTCGACGCTGTGATTATATCGGCTTGCGTTAGTCCGCAATGGATACTTTACACGTCGGCCATGGACACAGCAAGGCATCCAGCCGGAGCCAGTCGCCGTCCGCCGCGGAGCTGGCGCGGGACCCCGCGGTGGTGACAGATGACGCTGTTATCAGATCCCGGGTTCAGTCACCTTCGACCGTGCATCATGTTGTAAGTGTGAGTATATTAGATATTATAATAGACGGCGTTATATTTATACTGGATACAATTATTAAAAATTGTAAAAGGAAGATTTAAATTCGAATGTATTTTTTTTTTGTGTAGATGTTACCGAATACAGAACAGATAAAGTTAATTTATACAATCAATAGTTTTAGCAATTGAATGTACCATGAATGTAACTAAAGAAATCAGGACCTATACAAATTATTGCTTGATTTTGATGAAAAAGAAATGCAATGCATAATAACTCTTATTCCCATTTTATCAAATGACAATAGAATATCGAATGAAATATAGACGTATTCTATGACAAATGAAATATTTTTGTGCTTAATTCCTAATTAAATTGTAAAAGTTTCAAAACTATATTTTTGATTAATAGAAAACCCCTAGAGTAAAAAAAACTTTTAATAAGAATAACGTATTTGTATAATAATAATATTGTATTTATTTGACGTCTTATTTTTCTTCGATGTGATTATGTTGGAAGTACTACAAACTTCAGTGAGTATTATTTAGTCGCGGCCCAAGGACATCTTTTGAGGTTATTCAAGGGAATAGGCACGCAATGTACATGTAAACGACGTTGCAACCTCTACACATATTTATCCACGTTTGTGTTTGTTTATTCTAATAGTTCCGGCTCGTAAACTAATATTTGTGTAAAAGTGCTTTGGCAACATTGGTTTCGCATCGTAAAGCACGAGAACTCTGGTTTTACGCTGATGCATGATTTTATTATAGATCATGAACGCCATCCATCTATTTTTAGTTCTATAAAGTTATTAATTAGTAGTCCTTTCTGAGTGCTCGCGGGTTAAACAATATACACGAAATATATCCTATAACTATCTGGATATATGTATATCTTTAAAATGGTTAATTTATTTACTTTGTGTATAGTGGGGGATGATAGTGGAAAATTCATTGGTACTTCAGGAGGCTCTACAGAACAGGACATAGTACGATTCTACCATCTGCGGAAACAAGTGGGTTTATTATTTCTAGTGAGTACCTACTAATTGCATCACAAAAACACGCATAAGTCCATATGAAATGTTTCGTATCCAAAAGTCTTATATAAATTCAAACCTCATTACACATAAAAAATATTACTAACAACTGCACTACTGACTCGGTCATTTAGATGTTTCTTGAATTTCTGTTGAAATAATTTCCAGCAATTTACCATTGTAAACCGTAGACTGTTACATCTTACTTTCACCGATTTCTTTTGTACGCATAGAATTATACTTTGTAATAAACTGGCGACACGCCCTGACTTCGCACGGGTGCATTTACGGTAGGGAACTCCAATTAAAAAAAAACAGCCCTATTACAATAAATATTACTTGTTGATAATGTAGCTTTTCTATATGTGAATGTATTTATGTAAGTATTGTGTATTTCATCAATTGAATTTAGAATAAATAATATATCTTTATTATTGTGCCATTAGTGTGGATAATATTAGTTTAGATTAATATTCTCTTAATATTAGTTTAGATGAAATTTAAGGGAATGTTTAAATTTTATATATAATTGAACTATAAAATGATATCCCGTATTCTAATTCATTCGTTAAAATTCATTAATATTCCACTGCCAGACATGAATCTCTCCCCATAAGTGGATGATATTAGTCCACTATTAATAACACTTGCCTAGCGGTTTGGTCTACGGTTTCGTTTCATGTTTTGCTTCTCTTGCTCTAGTATTATATGAAATAGATATATTATAACATTTGCGACTGTAGTTTTTAACCATAATGTGGTTAATCAATATTGTTGAAAACTTAATACTAAGGTAATTTTAATGAAGTAATAAATTGCATTGAAATAGCGAAACATCGTTTCGTTGTGGTAAGCGAATGTTAATTTTAACTGACTTCAAAATTCAATTTGAAGGGAACAAAAATTATGATTTGAAAGCTACAACAATATGGGCTTAAAATGTCCAAGGTGATTTTGAACTGCACTATTAAACTGCAGGAACAGCTTGTAGATAAATAATAATAGACGTAGATAAGTACACTACATCTATTAAGTGCGTAGCGGGAGGCTGACTCACACGTGACTCGGTGAGTCACTCAATATCGTAACCGCAGGAGTATAAGACTTACTCATTAACCAGGTTGGTAGTATATTATACCCTTCGATCTTTTTGAAATACAAATACGATTTGCAGTACGATATCTGTGGCATTAGTGTTTATTTGGATATGTTGTGTGATGTTTGATATATTTCAGTGGTGTAGCGGTTTATCACGTCCGCCGGTCGCGACTTTAATTCCATGTATTAGTTAGGAATTGGAAATGGAATTAAAATATCTGTATGTTATGTAAATTTGAATTGGAATAAATTGAAATTTAGAATACAAATCTTTGTATTCATAACTATGATTTTTGTATTAGTTTGCGTGTTTTCTATGTATGTATTTAAAAAATATATTTATGTATATTTATTATTTGTTTTGTAGTCATAACACAGGCTCTGCATAGCTTGAGACTAATTGGCGTGATATAAATTGTCCAGGGTTACTATTATTTCTTTATATGCTTTTTAGTATTCTGCCTTTGATGGAGTTAACACAATGACTTTTGTTAGTAAAAATTACCTTATTATTATTAGTACGATCTTTCCTTCAATGTGATTGAACTAATAATACGAATTGTAGTACGAAATCTGTGGCATCAATGTTTATTTAACTATGATGTGTGGTGTTTGATGTATCTGTTACTATTATTATATCAGTAGTAAAATACCATGGGTATGACGTAAATACTTACACTGATGGTAGAGTACGAGCAAATTACCCATTGATATGACCTTCAGACACTGACACTGTGAATTTTCAAGGATTTTTACACATAGTTGCATTGGATTGAAGGAAAACAATAAAATTTTTACTTTCAATTCGTTTAATTTAATTTTCTATTATAGAAAGCAATCAAGCTTTGCTCAACGTCTACAATATGATACTTATAAAGCAAAACAAATGAAAATATATATTTACACATTAATGTTTTCTAATCTATACTAATATTATAAAGCTGAGAAGTTTCTTTGTTTGTTTGGTTGAACGTGTTATTTAATTCAGTATGTACCGGTTTTGTCTCGGACAGCCCTTTTGTGAGGCAGGTTATAGAATATAGCATACTGCAACGCATATGCATAAGTTTTTCATATACGAAAGCAATATCGCAAATATGTACTTATAACGTATACGAGTACATGGTTACGCAATCGATGATATTTCAATTTGGTCCCGATTGGATTCCTATAACAGTTACGCGCTGATATGTGCAACGATAATTTTCAAATTGCATTCAATACATCTCCGACCGTGATTGAGTGCAGTGACATTTGTTTATTCATCGCTAACATTAATTTAAATAACAATATTGCTTAAATAAAATCATTCAAAATTCCCTTATTGATCTATATGTAGCTATTTAAAGTTTGTACATGTACATACAATATTCTTTGCGAATTGGATCTCTACTCTCATCCTTTTATAGCTTACGTAAATATTATCACAGCATGAAAGCAAATAAATTTTTGTTTACTAACTGTAAAAACATTTACATACTCTTTGACTTTCGTACAATGTTTATGTATGACATCTGTTACTTTGTTCGCGGAATATTTTTAATGATTTTACCAATGTACCTTTAGTAACCATTCCAGTCTTAGATTATATGATACGATAAGCTAAGAGCTTATTCGTTCTTAAAATGCTGGCCAGGCACTTCCAATAAGGTAAGGTTTTGCGCGTGCTCATGGGGCTGCGGTAATCAGTTACCACGGGTTCCCTATGCTATATAAAAACTAATAAATTTAACATTATAGCATCTTCTCCATAAAACAAGACGACATAATGAGATTAAATACTGAATTTACAGGATAGGGCATGACATCTTATTGCTACAGAATGGCAATGAATATGTATACCACTCGGAGGTGCCCATGGTGCTGTTCATTAAGCAAACCTTATTCGTTAAAAAACGTTTAAAACTGATTGCATAGTATCAGTATCCTTAAAAGATGTATAAAAAACGATAGCCTTGTAATAAAAATATACTAAAATTATTATTTTTAGTTTGAAAGGATTTCAAAGTTCACCTTTATCTTACCTGATAAGAAGTGATGATGACATTGTAATTGATGGCGTAACCCGCGGTCCCATAAACTTCACTTTTCCTTTGAAACGCTCTAAATTATAAGTAATGCTTTGAGAGCGGCGTGGCCTTGTGCCTTACTACTATAATTTACATCCAAACGGTACTGAGTTAAAATCTGGGAGGTACAAAAAAGGCGTATCTGTTTACTTAATAGGACAATTCACACAGCCATCTAGTCCCAAGATAAGCAAAGCTTGTGTTGTAGTTACTAGATAACTGATACAAATACTTATATATGTTTTTTTTGCGTACATACATAAATAGAGATTATGCTAATAGAAATGTTGTCTGATCGTATTGTTATTTGTTATGTTTGTCGACAGGATAAGATTGTATATAATATTGATCTCACCCCGGATTACTAGTTTACAGTATGAAAACGTAAAACAACACAACACACAGGAAATATCATGAACAGACTGACAGACAGATACATTTTAGCAATGCAGATGAAATTATAATCATGGAAGTTTACACTATCACTAAAATAGAATTGATTTATCAAGTCTCATAGTAATTAAAAGTTATGTAGAGCTGATATATCGCACATCTGTTGTAATCGCGTTTAAGCTTGTTCACTTTTCTTAGGATGCTGTGTCATGTATTTAATTATTTTTTTTGGATGAGACTAGGGAATTTATGTTACGGCTATTTTTTCTAAATAATAATAAAATAATACTGTCGTATTTACATTCGATACAGTCCTTGCAGAATTGTTGTTAGTTGAAAGATATTTTAATTTTCATGTTGAAAATTGTCAGTGGTATTTTTTATATTCATTATACAACGCAACACACCAAGCGTATGTCTACCTCGACATTTGACTATTTTCCAATTTTGTTTCGCTATAAAGTGATCTTTGACAAATAATCCCAATGAGCCTAAAACTAAAGATTTATTGTTAATTACTATATTTCATACTCTTTTTTATATTTGTTGTATGCACTCGGTATGTAAATTTTCACGTTTTTTCTAATTTAAAGTTAAATCAAATGAAATGTATCTTTATTCGTTCACTTATGATAAAACAAATCTAACGTCAGTTTTGAAAGTTCTGAGTAGAGAAAGTATTTATATATACGAGTATACACGTCACAAAGGCGTCACATAGAAAAATAACTTGAAAGAAAAACAATGAATTACTCGTAGTTGTAACGCTGCATAAATTTAATCCGGAAATTAGATAGATTGGCGACAGAAACATTACTTAGGCAGCTCGCCAAGAACTTATAAAATTCACAGCATCATACTAGATATACTTATACAAGCATTTGTATACTGCTTCTTTATATTATTATTTTGAGACTAGTTCATCAGGCATAGAGCTCACGACTTAGTTGTCTAGTACCTCCACTTTATACCAAATAGGCCGTGTGTTCAATATCAAGATTTGAATACTAATATAACGTTAAATCAAATCTGATCATCATGTATTCAAATCTGATCGACCCAAAAAAAATTCTGTCAATTTTTATTTAAAGAATAGATTGCACTTAGGTTAAAGGAAATATTGACTGAGAAAAATATTTTGTTATGCTCATTGTTTACATTTTGTTCTTTGAATATTTTTTTGTGCAATAAAGAATTATTACTATTATATTATATATTGGACGGTAGCGGTTCACGACTGGTATGGGAAGTTAAACGATGTTTATCTAAGATAATTATAGTTTAGTCGGTAAACATTTATAACTCTTGAGCGAAGTAATTAAAATATTCCATCATCAACGGTTCCTATAAGGTTAATAGACTTTAAATATTTGTGTGTGTGTTAATATTAAAAATAAAGTATATTAAATTTATAAAAATAAAATAGAAATTCCATTAGTTTCATTGTTTGAAATATTCATTTGCAATTTAAACATTTTTGATTAGATATTGCATTCTAATTTCTTCATAGGTCATAGTGAAAATTCTTAATCCGTAATAATAACTGTTTAAAGGCCTCCAGAATCTCGATTGATTTTAGACATAACTCGCAGACATGACACTTGTTGTCTTTTGACCAACACGAACTAATGTAATACAATACTCAATTATGATTAATTAGTCAGCATTTTATCCAAATCGTAGATGTTCATATCCTAAAAAGGTGAAGTTCATTGCTATGTAATAAAAATAGATAATAACCTATGTTTATTTCTAATGTGAGCTTGTTTAAAAAATGTACGTTGCGTGTCTGTCACGTGGTTAATTATTTACAGGGTGATAGGTGAAATTAATGACTATTCATAGTTTTCGAATCAGTAATTTGAATGATTTTTATTAACGTGTTTTAAGTTATGCGTATGCTGTTTCTTACTCAATTTATTAAATATTTTTACACAACAACTTGCGATTTGAACTGTGTTATTTTAGTACAATCTTCACCTCATTCGCAGAATGCATAAGTACGGTACAAAATCAATACTGATGTTACGATTTGAGCTATAAACAACTCGACTACGGTACAATTCACTTTAGTAAACTTTGATATTTATCCTTATTGTTTGTTTTATTTTGTTACCTTGAATGTTAATGTTCGTTCCCATCGTATGTATTGCTTTAGGATAATGGCATTGGCATATCCTTACTACCATTATGTAGGAAGTATTATTATATATCCGTAACGATATTGATTTCATTCGTAATAATATGTTCAATATAGGTATTATAAAACACCCTTTACACGATACTCAATTAGGGTCAATAACAGAGCAAAGTGGGAACGCCCTGAGTTTCTTCTTAGATCGTCTCGTCGATATTACCCCAAGTACCTCGATTTTAATACATAGGTAGGCCGTTAAATACTCAAAAAAAATTTTTTATACTAAGGGACTAAACCTGTACTCACACTGTCAGGTTCAGTCCGGACGGCTTGTATGAACGACGTTGTTCTATTGATGCATTTCCAAAGACGAGTCGGAGCGTAGCAACAACCGTGACAATCAAACGACAACGTCGGCACGAGCCGTCCGGCCGTTATTGTTGTTTATGTGTACACCATAAATTAAACAGTAGTTGTTTACAGTACATGCAAGTAAGCTTATCTTACTTATTTTTAGAAATATTTGTGTCGTTGTTATAGTGTGTGTGGACTCTAATTTAAAAAATGGCTGCCAATAATATGATGTGGTGGGAATAAGGAAGCTTATATCTTATGTATTTTTATCGGAAATATTTGACCCCATTGGTGGGAGATTTGTATTAATAGTGAGTTAAAACACTGCGTAAATGAGCTTACTAAAAGGCGGCCTTAACGTTTAAAGCAGTTTATGACTAGTTTCTAATTTATATATTTTCCTTACATTCCAGGAGCCGTCGTCAAGCTCATCATCACGACACGGCGAGCGAGTGATTCACCATGTCAAGTCTCATTCAAGAGATCTCGGTAACAGTCCGCTGTCAGCTAACACAACCGGCAACAGCTCTAGAGAGTGAGTGTCTTAATAAATGGATTGCCTCAATGGTCTAGCGGTTTAGTAGCCTTACTTCAGAGGGTCGCGGGTTCGATTCCTCGCTCGATACAATCAATCATTTGTATCAATGAGTAAGATTATTTGTGTTGGTCTGGATGTTTTCTATGTCTATTATGTACGTATTTACAACATAACACAACACTGCTTAAGTAGGACTAAATGACGCTGTGCGAATTGTATCCCAATACAATTCTGGGGTTCTTATTAGTTATTATTAACTACCTTTCAAAATGTCATATAAAAACTATTGCCATAAAAACTATTCTGTATTGATACCTAGACGTAATTTTTTGGTAATGGATGATAATGGCACAGTTGACCCGGATACGCTAAAGTTACCAATGGAGAATAATAAATGTGCATGAAGTCAGGTAAATTAGCTCGTGGTGGCTAATTCAGCAGGTTTTCAAGGTGACCGTGTGGAAGTCCACCTAACATAGTACATTGCTAGAAATAAGACAACTACACGACACTATTAATAATCTCATGTCCTAGGGTTAGACTAATTATAAAAATAAACAACGAGTTAACATTCTTTTAAATGTATAATTTTATTCAATTGCGACAGTTACATTATTGTTTCCATTTTTTTGAAGCTATTGTGACGTATCATATCCATTCTGCAAACACTGTGGTACTTAAATTAGCACAATGCTGATATTAAGTGGTAGCCTAATATTAGCACTGTGGGAATTTAATTACCACGGCTGTACTGAATTGTAGCGCTGTTGTCAGTATACAATAAAAATAACGACGAGCTCAGTAGTCCAGCGGTTGAGTACACCGCTTTAATTCAGATGGACGCGGTATCGATTCCTCGCATGATGCAAAGATTTGTATTCATGTGTATAATTGTTTGTATTAGTTAGGGTGTTTCGTATATTATGTATGTAATTAAAAAATAGGTTATACTTAAATCTCAGTTGTCCAATATATATCACACTCACTATATAATTAATAATATTAATAATAATATATACATACAACAATTACAGTTGCAAATACATATATAAAATATTTGGTTAGCAACAGATCTGCTTAGCTTAGGACTACATGGCGCTCTATGAATTATCCTGAGTTATTTATTATTATTATTACTAACTTCTTCCTTTATCTGTATTCCAGTTTGGAGGATTCGCCACAGAAGAAAATTATATCAGGTCTGATTGCTACTGGCGAGTACGCGGCCTCTGTATACAGCCCCAACGTGTCTTACAATCTCTCGGCGGATGAATATGGCTCTCCAAATTACAGAGGTATTGTTTTGTTACTAATGAATAAAATAAAGAAATGTCACATGAATTTATATTTATCCTTACAGACAGACATATAGAGTTATTTTCGCATTTATAATATTAGACTATAAATGCGAAAGTAACTCTATCTGTCTGTCTGTCGCCCTTTCACGCAAAACTACTGAAACGAAAAGGGGGTAAATTAAAGTAGGCGATGAGTGTTTGTATGTAAATTGGTCATTTTTAAAGCTAGAACCATAAAACTTTTTTCTTTGTCTACTTTTTGGGTTATATTATTCAATATTGTTATTCATAATAACTATTCGCATGGACGAAATCTTGGGCACAGCTAATTGATTATATATTATGAAATCATTAATGAACTAACTTGATACATCGGTAATATAACACTTTAGTTAAAGCTCTGCCTAACAAGTACACCACTTGTTAGGCAGAGCTTTAACTCTTATTTAGTCGTACACTCTTACGAAAGTGGTCGTAGCTTTCATGATGATGTCACTGGATTCTCTTCAGTTTTAGCTACTTGTAAACATTGTGATAGTTATATTAAATATTAGTTTAAAAATAATATTACTAACAAATGGACGTTTGTTGCTATAATAAACTTATTTATTATTATTATATTTCAATATATAGTTAACCAAAGGTAGACTGTAAAAAGACGACAAAGAAGGCAGTCCCAAACCAACTTGCTTTATAATCTATTTCGGTAGTAGTCAGATTAGGCTGTAAAATACTACTACTACTACTGTATAACAGGCATGATATATTTGGCAAAGAATGAATGGTATCACGGACATCACATGATAACGTGATGCCCGTAGTACTTTTCGTGTAGGCGACGGTATATCGTCTTTGTTGTCTATTCCAATTACATAAAAAAGGTACAATAATATTGGGTGTATTACAATAATATGTCTAATCTATTGTTTCAGTACTAGACGCAGACTACCAAGGTAATATTTTTTTTTATTATTATCCCATACTTTAATAGTTATCCTTTATTGTAATGACAGACATTGTTATTTTAATTACCGCTAAAATGGCGGAACATTTAAGTTCAGTTATGGCATGAATGTCTGAATATATGGCATATCTGATAATGTGGCATTAATAAATACATACAACCCTAGATTTTAACTCTTCTACCACCAACCCCTATTTTTAATAGCAATATTGGTACTTAAATTTATAATGCGAAACAACGTTTGCCGGGACATCTAATATATTATACATTATTATATAATATTAATCTATTAATGTATATGTTATTGGTCGGAAAGGTCTTTTCATCAGTAAATAGATTATTGTGCCTCGAAAAGTATGGTTGTATTTACTATTTCTACATTGTTGATATTGCTACTATTATTTAAAATAATTATGTCTCATGTAAGTCTGAAACAATTGTATTTATGTACATATGTTTCCTGTTGATAAACGTAACGAGTGATATTAATGTTCAGTGCTATTGTATCCATCGTTCTTGTTCAGTGATTTTATATACTGGTATTATTACACCTACATAATTAAGTAGTGTGGTGAAAAAGAAATTTTATATAAAATGTATTTTAATTTCTTATTATTAGAATGCATATTTTCTTAATGAATATTTCATTTTGAATAATGATTCTTAAAAATTTTGGTATTCATTCGGTTTGTATGTATATATAATTTATAATGTGGTCAATAAAGAAATTTTTCAAATATTCCAAGATTCTGGATATTATTAAAGATAGTAAGTAATATAAGTTATATATATAGTAACAATAATTTAATAATTAAAGGCAGGTTTAAAACCTCTGGAAATAGCCTTTATTTTAATTTAATTATTAGTTCAACAAAACAAAATCTACTAGTTTTACTATATTAGCCACTACACCAGGCATGTAGTATGGTAGTTGTCTACTATTAGCTCTTATTTCAAAATTAAATAATTTATAAAAATAATATTGTTATGTAGTTTCTTTAGGATACTTAATCCTCATAATAGATATGGGTATTTAATGGGGATTATATTAACCAAGGTCATATTTGTATATTAGACCCATATACACATTGCAAGTATGTATGTAAACACAATTTTGATAAGATATACCAAATGGAATTACCAATATAGATTAATAAATATTGTGATATTTTTAATAATATTTTTACTAGCTATTATGGGCGACTTTGTTTGAGAGACTTCTATTATTAATATAGTTAAATGAAATATAATATGACGATTTCATGATAAATAAAGGTATTTACATCTCGACGTTAAACTTGACTCAAATTGCCGTCAGCTCGTCATTACCTGTTGGAGCATGGCAATGCAACCTAGTCGAAACGTCGAGAGAAGTAAATACCTTTATTCACCGTAGATTATTCATATTAAAAGTATATTAATAAAGCGTACTATACACGAAAGTTTAAACTTAGGTATGTTTTTATATAAAAGATAGTTCATATTCTGTCCGCTTACAGTTTATCTACGTATAGAATTTAATTTAGATACATTCAGTTGTCGAAATGTAACAAACAGACAAATTTCGCCTTTACAATATTAATTCAGAATGATAATTATAAGTCTATGACTTAACGCTTTAATTGATTAGAATTCGCGTGGAGGCGAGTGCAAGCGGTCGCTACATTGTACACACCTTAACTCGCCCGGCAGCGACTAGTATTTTCGTATCACGTGTGTTATAATCGGCCTGTGAAGCAAAAGTTTTAGAGTAGTCCGAAAAAAAAAAATAACACCCGGCCGCGATTAGAAGAGTGAATATTTACCTATCTTGGCAGAAACACCGAAGAACTCATTTTACATGCTAATACCACTGTGAGTCCATGCATACGGCGCGAGTTATCACGGCAATTATCAGCGGCCTTTTCTACGAACTTTTTAAGGGTTTAATCCGCCAGTGTAAATAATATAGTGAATTATAAAAGTAAAATGTGTATATTTGATAAAAGACTCGCAAGTTTCAATGAACTCTCCAATAATCCATCAACTAAATTGGGATTTGTTTCTAGTCGTCAAAGTAGTGTTTAGTGCAGATACCGCATTATTCAGCCCCACTTACATTCTACATTACGCTTATGTAGTGGGCTATTGTAATGCATTTAGGAGTACTTCGTTATACAAAAGTGTTTCAATGTAAGTTTAAAGTTTCGAATAAATGATTTTCTATTCTATACAAGTCTCTACATGCCATGCCGTTGTTCGGGCTTTTAGGGTCTGTTAGTGCATATCCAAGTCACTAGTTGTGTATGACGGTGGTCTTGTTACTGAGATTAATATATTTTTATTTTTAGATGAAAGCGACTGCAACACAATGGTGCCGTCATCAAAAGCAACGGCGGCGATTGCGCACCTCAACGCGAAGATTGAACGAACCAAGGATCTTATACGGCTCGAACAGACGATACGGGATGGTCAGTTTAAAATCTTCCTCAGACGCTATCTAAGTTGACTTTGTACAAAGTAGTCTGCGTGGGTGACTGGGTCTCGTCTATTTCTGCCACGTTGAAGAATTTGATGTAAAGGAAAATATCAGAGAGAGGTTATCGAGCGAGCGAGGTATATTGATTGCTTTATAAGAGAGAGAAGAGTCAGAAGAATTGTAATTTACAGGCCATCATGACTATGAATGCATGACCTATGTAGACCACTGGCATTTAATTAGTTTTGTATAACCATGATGAAAATGTTAACCTTAAATAAAAAATATATGTTCTGTGTTTCAGACAACGTGAATGAGTATCTAAAACTGGCCGCAAATGCAGATAAACAACAGTTACAGCGCATCAAAGCGGTTTTCGAGAAGAAAAATCAGAAGAGCGCGCTCTGCATCGCGCAGCTACAGAAAAAACTAGAGGGCTACAACAAACGGATCAAGAATTGGGAAGTAAGTCTTATGGTATATAGCATAGAATTTATATTTGAATGACGTATTATACATATGTATATATATACGTAAATTGTTTATTTGTTTAAGAATATTAAGTAGGTCAGAATAAAAATAAAGCACAAATTTTCACTTTTTAATCAAGGGGCATTATAATTACTGCATGTAACACACAAAAAAATAAATTGTAGATTTCAAATTAAGATGAAAGTTTGATTAATAAGGATAACTATAATATATGTTATGTAAAAATGACAATTAAAATGGTTATTTTATGTATTTCCTTCTGACTTAAAAAGCATGTGTTAAACGTTAATCTATTTGACAATACCTACCTTTGAAGATTCAAACTTTCATTTATTTTTTTTATATTGTATATATTTTTTATATTGTTCGTTTTGTATGATGTTTTAAAAATATAAAGCGATGTTTTAAATTTAAACAATATTATTATATATAGGCGATAAATGAACACACTTATTTGGAATTAATATTTGTTTTTTTTTTTCAGCAACATGGTACAAGCGGGCAAGCACACAGGCAACCTCGAGAAGTATTACGGGATATGGGGCAAGGACTCAAGTAAGATTTATGCTTGTCTACATAGGCGGATAGATCAGGAGATAGATTCTTAATTTAAAGAATAATGTACAAAAATGTGTACGGTTTAGGAAGAAATGGTAGATGTTATACAACTGATTTCTTATTTTAAATTTATTAAAAGTAATATGTACGTAAGGTATTGTTAATACAAGTGTATACTTTTACTCGACATTATAAGGAATAATGTAGTGGAGACCGAATTTCAAATATTACATATTTAAAATAACTTACTACCTTATATCCTCGCAAATTAGCGAAACTGTGGTCTAGTGTCCTTTACTATCTTTAGTGCTACCTGTATGTAAAATTGGATATCAAGTTTTTAAAATATGAATTCGACAGTTATATTATTAGTTATGAATATGGTCAACTAACGAGTATATTTCGTTATCTCGAAAATTCAAGATTACATAAAAAAGATGTAAGTTAAATAGAAAAACAATAATGGATAATTGAAAAGTAGATTAAAAGAAGAATGTAAGGCAAATTATTTAGCTGACTGTTCCATACTGTTACCAGAAACCGGTTGGATAGTAGAAATAGATTAACAGAAGAATCTAGAAGGCAAATTATGTAGTTGCTTGTACCATACCGTTATTAGAAATTTATATTGGATAGTAGAAGATAGATTAATAGAAAAATGTAAGGCAAATTATGTAACTGATTGTACCATATTTGTACCAGAAACGTGGGTGGTAACATACGAGACGGCATCACGGGATTCAGCGGCAGCGTGATGGCGGCGCCGCGGGAATTTGCCCACCTCTTCTCTCGGTCCAACCGCTTCGGGTCGGCAGACAATATCTCCCAAATAGCCGGTCTGTATCTCCCTATGTTTATTTAATTTATTAACAATAACTTCTTTATATGACGCCTAGGAAAAGTCGACTTGCATATTGTGGTCATAAAACTATAGTGGTGGCCCAGTTATCGAAATTTACCCTTAATAAAAAATACTAAAATATGATTGAACCCGTAATAACAACTATATAAAAGAGTATATATGCGTGTGTGTTAAATACATGGTAGTGTGTGTGTATTTTTTTTATTAATTTAATGTATTTTTTATACATAATTAAAACAAACCATTACCATTAGGTTACTAATTTAAAACAATCTAAGTTTGTTATATTTTGTAATGTTATTTACTCTTTAAAGGGCTTTTTGATAATAAACTTTTACAAAAGATAAAACAATATACATATTTAGTACATCGCGTAATTCTTACATGTAACAATGTATCAACAAGAACATATGTTGCAATTTAAAGTATTCAGTAAATCTTTAATTATTTCAAATAATATGCTAACTTTTGATAATAATGAAACGAAATGAGTGAGAATTTTAGGGTCGTACTATTCAAGCGACATCTTGTCTTTTTTTCTCTACCAAAACGTTGTCTCCAAGAGATTGTTTAATCAATAAAACCGCCATTCTGTACCTTCTTACTATGTATATATAATTCTTTTAATTATATTACATTTCGGGCGCAATAATGAGTAATAAATAAAAATATATCGAATGATTATAGGACACTTTTTCCTGGGCGTTGTTATTTTCAAAAGAAATGCCTAATCGCTTGTACTGCTAGCTTTGCTGTTAATTATTATTTGATATATTGTTATATGTTGCTGTAAAGATTCGTATGTTGGTATATTTTAGGTTTTACTGGTAAAAGGTAAGGTATTTTTTTAAATGGGTGATATTGAAGTTGCACCCGTATGCGCATATATATATATGCTTGCGGTGCCATTTTACAAATGTGTGGTCAATATTGTATCGTCTAGTATTATGGTAAATGTCAATATATTATTAAATACATCATTTTACTCCTGATTTTACCATTACAGTTTTGTATAGGTTAGGTTATTAGTAAAACCTTTGATTTAAAATCTAAATTACGTAAATTCTTAATTATTTGGGAGTTTTATCTATTTTTTATTATATATATTATAGTAGTATATATAAAATATATATTTATACAAATAATAACTTGTAACTAACAAAAGTAAGTAAAATTATAACAAAATACTATTTGTAATGCTTTGCTTAATTTTGGATATGATATTGCACATTTACCTTGAACAATATATATTTTACTAATTATAAAATTTAAAAATAATTTGCTATGATTTAGTTTGTGCAGCCCCTTTTACCTAAATTGTCCGTCCGATTGTAATTTCTTTCTTTTTCATTAATCTGGTATGTACACTGACCTATATGCGTTGAATACTATTCTCCAGTCTGTCCTATTACGATGGAAAGTTGTATGTCCAGGGTAGTTTCTCGTTTGCTCAAACCTTGGATTAGACATAGTGGTCTGTATGTTTGTTGCAGTAGTATTCATAAACTTATGAATCGATATTATAATTTGTCATGTTTTAATTATATTTCACAGAAATCTGTTCCATTATTTTCAATTTGAGTCATGGTTTTATTATAATAAATGTAATTAATAATGTTAATTGGTAGATAAAACCCTTTCCCCTTTAATCTTATAACTTGTTATTGTTTATGTACTTATAATGTGAAAACACATATTGGGTATGTGGATGTTTGTCAGTCTGTTTAATGAATGTATTTTGTCTCACAGAGAACACGGGTCCTTGTGAGTATGGTATAAAGTAGATTGATTTACTTCATATCTTATAACAATATTAACTAATCTATTTACATACTTCCTCGAGCTATTAACACTCATTTCTAACCTACCTGTCTCTTGTTTCTAAGCATCAGTAGCTCTATTTTTCCATACAACTGACTTCATTGATTATTAGGATTTTCATCACGTAAAATGCTAGAAACATATTAATAATAAATCTGTTTTTGAATTTGTGGTGTTTAACAATTTTTATATAATTTATTTTTATATGATTTATCTAACACACATATATCTAAATTTATGTTATAAAGGAAAGACATTCAAATTTTGCTTCGAATGCATAAAATAAACCTATTTTAAGAAAAATTTACAGCTAGAGCGTATGTGTAGTATTTTTTTTACTTCATAATAAAGTAGCTATTATCCGAGAATTTGTTTACTATTTTCAAAATATAAAATACAGATGTCTGTCCTAAATAATACAATCTAACTTCGCGACATATTTCATTAAGATCGATTTCATTGGTTAATTATGAAAAGGTAATAAATAGAAATAAGATATTACATAATTATTGTAGAATATTATGATTTAGTAATCTTTTTAATAACTTTCAAATTATCAGATATAGTCGAAAGTTTGCAACAAATAAATATTCTTTCTGAAGGATATGACACTGCATAATTTCACGATCGCCACGATACGAAGATAAGTTTCTTATCTGACAGTTCTCAATGTCACGACCCGACAGCACTTCATATGCGTCGACACAAGGTCGATTCCACAAACTATAGTAAAGTAGATTTATTTATATATGTATATTTGTCTAATAATTTAAACGCTTGAAATAAACTTTATTCGGCGGCAAATAGACTTTGAGGCAGAAAAAAGTCATAAATTCATTAATGGCTTTTTGGATTATGCCCTTCAAAAATGATATCATTATCCCGATCGTGTATATACTCACATTCTTCTGAATGAATATATTAAAAAAGTTTGAATATTTATCGACTCCACAATCTAATTAGTAGGTACTAGTTAGAATTCATTAATAATATACAGTATATATCCCTATTTATTATTTGTACTTTACTTACTTAATACTTTGAACGATGAACATTATTTTTGTTTTTACCGATTACAATAAAAAGCATGATCTAACTTGCGTTTTTTAAAGTACTTTCGTTGATTCTTTTAGTCATTTTCGTTTATGCCGATTTTGGTCCAATGCTAGTTTTATTACTATTGTAATTTGTGACGTTACCTTCTTTTCCTGCGTATGTAAGCACACTTAAATTATAAGGAAGTTATTAGGGGTGATTAAACTTTATATATTACATACGATGATTTCCAAATAACTGTTTCAAAATAGCCATTGATTTACCGTCAAATAATTTTGATTATTGAAAAAAAAAAATACAAAGTCACGGCATAATAAAATTACTATCTACCAAAAAACTTATTGTGAACTTTGAAAAACTATTACAAACAAAAATGTTGTTTTATTAGGTGGCGTGCCGGAAATTTTGTGTCATATGCCGTCAAATACACTCATACTATTGGTATGTGTGTATTTGACGGCATCTCAGATATGGACTGATAGTTAAAAATGGTTTTATGGATATTGTATCATTTTACTAAATAATGAGTTTATGACTCAATCATTGGAATACAATATAAAGTGTTGATAAGATTAGTAGAATGGACCTGTTTACCTGACTCAATCGCTCAGTTGCGTTAGAATATCATAGATTTTAGTGTTTTGTGATCTCTACATGTGTGAGATGTTCTTCAGAAAGTGCAGGAAAAAACGCAACACGGAAAAATATGGTCTGTTCAACTTAATATTCGTATTGTTTATGTTAATTCATAGTTAATATACGTTATAATATAGTATTTAAATACTTTGTTAGTAAAATATCTAAAATACCCTGACTGTAAGTTTTTTGCGTGATCGACTATGACCGATGACTAATGTACATACTATATTAGTATGTACATACGTAGTGATTACCGGCTCAGTGTTTACATAACGACAAACTATTTTTACTAATGGGTTTTTATGTTTTTAAATTTGTACACGTTTTTAGACAGGCAAACGCAACTATTCCATACAGCCTGTTCATAAATTTGATAAAATTACTTTTCGGTTTTAGGATATTTAATTTTGTGGACGATAATTATATTTATGTTTCAAGGGTACCTTGTTTTGGAATGAAAATTAATATGATTATCGAATGTGTAAATTTGATTAAAAGAAGTATGACATAAATAATACATAAATGAACTATGTTAACGCGGCTAGATCGATACTAATAAATTTTAATAGAATTCATCCCAATTTCGAATACTCTTTGAGAAAATTAACAAAAAAATTTTGTACTTTCTTGTTCATAGTTACTTAACTAATTAACAGTACTTACTGTTACTAATGAAATAACCTCTAAATTAATATGTTTTCTTAATTCGTATTTTGAGAGAGCTTACATTATCAAGTGTAGTGCAGACGGCCCGTGTTGACTATGTCGTTCAGTTGTCGTATTTCCAAAGAGACGTAGTAACCAATGTACCAATCGAACGGCGTCGTCGGCACGGGTCGTCCGGTTTTTATAGTAAATATACGGGGTACTCTTAATTATATCACTAACCAGTCTCTAACACGCTTCTGTTTTTTTTACTTATTAAGCTTAAAATGCTATCGTTGTTCTAAGCTTATATACTTACAATTGTTCTTGACTAGCATTTGTGTCAAATGTGTGCTTATCATGGCGTCTCCTTCTTGCACGCTAGCCCCACAACACGCGGAACTGAGAGGTAAATAATAGCAGGTTTATATATTTATTATATATAGTAATAATGTAGTTTGGATTTTTAAATATCTTATAGAAGAAAATTATGTATTGTAAATTAATTTTGCTGTATATGATGTAAATTTTTTATAGTTTCCTGAAGTTTTTATAAATACACATATATATTTTATATTTATATTCTCAGTAATAAAACTGTTTGTAAGTATTTTCATAACGAAATTTACATACGGAATGTAATAATATTGATCCTCTTCTGCACTATTGAATGTTAATGGTTATGTTTCTTTTAAGATATTATTATATTTATATTAAATTTACCTTTAATATTTTAATTATAATTTTATTTAATATAAATATCTAAATTATAAATAACAGTATACATATGTGGAGTCTTTTAAATACTGATTGATAGAATAAATATAATCACCTGTATAAAATATAATATCCACTAATACCTAGAATTGATACGTAGGTCTCAAAAGCTGACGGTTTATAAACATTTCTGTCTGCAGTTTTCTAAACCTAAATACATGCATTATATATAATACACTAGGGCAATACTTTATAATATGTACTAGAAATGGCATACTGTTAAATTTTACCATTACAAACTATATGCGAAAGGACCCAAATAGGAGTCTACATATATGACAGAAAAAAAATATTTTATCTCATAAAAATAACCATATTCACTCCTTCCAGTCATTTTCTTCAGATAAAATATAGCCTAGCCTATGTCCATCCTAGGATTACAATCGTCTTCCTGTCAAATTTGATTAAGATCTGTATAGCAAGTTAGTTATGGAAAGTTAAGAGAGAGACAGTCATGCAGATACTACATATAACATTAGTTACAACTATATTAGAAAGAGAACAATAAATATATGCGCGTATTGAGTTTTTCTACAACGTGACAGCGAACGCGTCGTCTGAAGGGTCCCGAGCCTCTGAAGGTGGTGAAGCGGCTCCACGGGGGTCCACGTTGCCCCGGGCGGCCAACTCGCCAGCACCCAAGTACTCACCAGAAGCATCCCCCAGTTCCTCAGTCACCAGTGAAGGCGCACCGTCAGTATTACAGAATTTTATTGTTTACTGTTGAAGTTGTAATAGTGGTAATATTTCCATATATTATGTAATAAGATCTTACATATATATGTATATAGTATAAGTGTCGAGTCAGTATAAAGCCATACCTCGTGCGTACATAAATTCACATTCACACACACATGCGTGCGTGTGTGTGTGAAATTAATGTTCGAATATAGTTTATGTACTCTTTTTAGAATTCAATTCCACGAAATTGTAAAAATAATTTTACTTGCAATGTTTTTAAATTGAATACCTAGAAAGAGTAAAACGGCGCCAGCATCATGATAGAATGCTTACACCGTATGGTATTTTACTGGGAAGTAAACCCACACTACCCACTCGCCTCCCTCGGCACGTTGACAGTCTTTAAATACCTTTTTTTTAATTATATTTAAAAACAATGTTTTTTTTTAATTGCAGTTACCCTACGCAAGGCGGACCGAATAACATGTCGGAAGCTGTGTTCAGTATCAAACCGATACTGAATGAGCTGCGCGAACGCAAAGAGGATTACGAGAGGCTAGCTGAGAAAATAGATGCGCTCAAGGTATATATATTTATCGTATATGTTATATATATATAATTAATAAAGTATTTCTGAAATAGCTATGCTGTTTCAGGAGTTTAAATGGTTTTGTCACAACAGAATCCACTGTTGCTTTTACTTTTAGAAGTATTATTTTATAAATATCATTTTACATATAACATATAGTTCTCATGGTTTTAGCATGTATCTTGATTTTTTTAAATAATTATTCCCACACGCACCGATGCACCAGTGGATGTCCATCATCCACCCATCATTAGGCCACTTAACCCACCCAACAGGAAAGAATGTTGCGAGCGCTGCTACTATGCAATACATTTATCAATGTAATCATATGTTCGCATTGTTTTGTTTTAGAACTTGTCTCAGGAGGTATCCTTCTTGTCCAGTGCGCTGCAAGAGGAACGTTTCAAAACAGAGCGACTCGAAGAACAAATTAATGATCTCACGGAACTCCACCAGAATGAGGTGGGTTTCTGGTTTTAAATAGTTTGGAAACGCCTATATATTCATTTTTATTTTATACCTACTAGTCATGACATCGTCACAAACTTTGATCATCTTCTGCCAAATTTCGGATAAAAGAGTTCCTTAGAATTAGTTTATTTATGAAAAAATAACACACAGACGTACAGACGGAGACATTTACATTTAATATCTTGGAGTGGATTATTATCATATTTTCCTTTCATGAGTTCATTGTAGGCTAACAATCCCGTACGAGTAACACCATAAACGTTTGGTACAAGTCTTTATTATATTAATTACGTATTAAATACTATTTGTTTACAGGTGGAAAACCTTAAACAAGCGCTCACAGATGTGGAGGAAAAAGTACAATATCAGAGTGAAGAACGAATACGAGACATACACGAGGCTTTAGATCTCTGTCAAACAAAAGTGAGTATTATTAATACAATTAATAGAGTATTATTTGTATCGAGCAGAAGTATACAAGTATATATATAACCTTATCATGACTGAACTAAACAAATTGGAACCTAATATAAAATATCTGTGCAACAAACATCAAACACAAGGATCTCACTACATTAAAAGAATTAATTTGTATACAAAAATCTTTATGAAAATTATTTGTAATTTGGATTTCAGTTTTTTATTATACGTTTGAACAATTTATTTACTTTGTATAGTTAAAAAAATCCTAGTGATTTCTTCTTAAAACCAACCATTTAAATTTCTTAAATAAACTATTCAAATTTTAATTTATTACTGCCAATCAAATTACATAAGAGAAATACTTTTAAAGGATACTTAATTAAAGGCGGAAAAAGGAACCGGTTCAGCGTACGTCGACAGATTGCTCATGTGCGACTTAAAAGAAAGACTGCCTTAACCAATAATATTGTTACACAGATTAGTAAACTGGAGCAGTGGATGGCGGGCGGCGGCGGCGGTGGGGGCGTGGGGGGCGGCGCGGGGGACGCGGGGGGCGCGGCCACGCTGCCGCCGCGGCTGCTGCTCGTGAAGCTCATCAACGTGGCGCTCACGCTGCTGCAGCTCGCGCTGCTGCTGGTGGCCACCGTCGCGGGCGTCGCCATGCCCTTCCTGCGAACCAGGTACGTGACACCACGTGCACGATGTGAATGTACGCACCCAGTGTTACGTACTGTTGGCATGTTTTTGTATAGTAGTAAAAACATAGAATAGAAGTCACTGACTTATACCTTAGGAAGGAAGGATTTCTTCCAATTTGAATATGATTTATTTTTACTTGAAAAGTTAATATGCACACATAGAAAACATTCAGACAAATACTGATATAATCATCAATTTAATTTTTTTTACCGCGAGGAATCGAATCCACGAGCAATAATGCAGTACTGAGTATTTTTAAATTGTCACCTACAGGATCAATTGCCAGTAATTTTACTGTTATTATCAAAATTTATAATATGGATAATCTTTGACTTCAAATAAACCAGGGTACGAGTATTAACAACGAGCCTGGCAGTAATGGTCGGCGTGATGGTGCTAAAGCAGTGGCCGGAGGTGACGCAGTTATCTGAACACCTGGTGCGGAGGCTCAAGGAGTACCTTCTGGATAAACACCACGACAGGTAATGTGGACCGCGCACTCCTCACTACCACTGTACCCATACGATACTGTCCTTGCTCATAAGATATTCTGTTTAATAATTCAGTTTTATGTATATATAATTTTTATATTTATATTAATATTAAATATTACTAAAAATAGAAGAGGGAAAATGTTAGGATAGTAGATACGGCATGATTAATTGAAAGGGGGAAGGGGTAGACCAAGCAATTACATAAAGCAAATTAAAGTCAAAATTGGAAAGTGCCAAGAGCACCACCCATCAGGGCATTGCTCTTAAAAAAATGGACGAAAACATCTTATATTGATTTTTCACGGTCGGATTATATAAGTCTACTGTACCTATTCAAGTTGTATGTCAGTACATTACTCTTAAATCTCATATTAGAATCTCAGCAATTATAGAACATATACTGATGGTTCCTATTCTACTAAATGAACCATCCTGTTTCTTATACAACTGTGTATAAGAAATACCTAAAAATATGCAAAAGTTGGTATAATGCAAAAAATATTAGTTTTTACTACTCACTCTTTAAGAAAATTTAATTTATCAGAAATTAAATTTTCTTAAAGAGTAAGTAGGAAAAATTAACTTTATGACTTTTATTATTATATTTATTAGTTTTCTTTTTATGAATGAATATGGAATGGTGCACTCGCCTACGCTAATGGTATATGCTGGCGGAGCACCAAGGTTAGATTGCCCATCGTGGTGAATTCACCAGGATTGAACTACGACTGGGGCCGGAGACGACTTGATATGGAATATTGCTAGCGATGGGGTTACTTGCCCCCACTTGTAACATGACTATGATCCTTCTATATGACTAGTTTAATTAATATTATATAGGTAAGGACAGTTTCGTTGTGGTGTGGTGGGCGGAATTCGTATAAGTATTGGTCCAGAATAGGGGTATAAGGTTCGAATAACAGTATAAGTATAGACCTCATAGTTTGAAACAATTGAATGTTTAAAATACTTGATATTGTGCTCAGAAGCAAATGGGCTATTAAACCTACGCTTTTTAAGATTATATGAATAAAAATTGATTACCAAAATTAAATGTAACTTAAAAATTTGTACAATCGCTACAGAAAGTTTTTCTATTAACTGTTGGGTAATAATAACTAAGGTGGTCGTACAGATCTTTTTACTCTACATGTGGATATTTGTTATTTACTTTCAATAGTTAATTTACTTCTAATATTTTCACTATCACATTAAATTTAAGAAAACGAAATGTGGACATGTCAAGTGTTGCGGTCACCAAGTTGAGTATTATCGTTCCGAACTGACGGTAGATTTGATATATCATAAGAGTTTGTAAAAGACCAACATGAATAAAGATTTGAATGTTTTGACAATGTCTATGACTATCTCATCTAGGATAAATGTTGTAATATGTTTATATTACTTTTTGTGAAAGTCTCTCTGATATCTATGTTATTTGGTCAATCGAATAATATATTATAATGAGGCAAAGATAATGAACATTGTACATTTAATTAAAAAATAATATCTAATTTGCCTAAGTGATAAAATTTTATAATCTCATTATTTTATGCCGACAGAGTCCCATCAACTTTTGAGCACAGATCGAGTGTTTTAAATTAGTTAATAAATAAATGAATTTGTTCGTACTAATTAAATTATTTTTATGTTAAATATTACAATAGTCGCTTGGTCATGTATAATATTGTATATGTATGTATAGTAGATAAATCATATCACAAATATGTATAGTATGTATAACGAAAACTAATTTTATATAAATGCGATCGCCAATACAACATTCATAATACTATATGTACGCTATACTCTGGACGCAATTGCAATAAATACTCACATTTTATTTTTATTTATTTACTAATATTTTATTTTCATTTATGTTTCTTTTTCTAATTTTATTTATAATTTTCTTTTTATTTTTTTTCCACTTCAGGTATGAATGCAAGTCATTATGTGGTTGATAGATAGCGTCGTTTCTAGAAGGAAATATCGTGATATTGCAATTCTGTCCTTGGATTCTCCAAACGGTAACTCATAATGTGGTGATGACAGTTGTAAAAATATGTATAACACGTTCAATCACAGTCCGGTACACACGGGGACCGTGAGCAGTAAGTTATACGTTCCTATTTGATAAAATTGTATACATGTGATAACTACTCAATATAAATTAGTTATAATAATTTGAAATTCTGGATATATATATTTGAAATTTTATAACCATGCTAACGGATGGAACTTGTGTGAATTAGACCACATTATAATATATAGGGATATACAGTGATGATATATATATATTATAGAACCTTAAATGTTTTGTATTATCTATCTAAATCTTCAGAATATGTTTCATAGTTGAGAAACAACGGAACTCATATTGTGGAAAACCCTTTAAAATGGTCAAGTTAATATAGTAGTTTCGGAGAATATTCTTTGTTAATTGTGAAAATTTAATAAATAATTATAAGCACAGTCAGTTCACAAAATGTTCCCTCTGAATGATCTGTCCAATTCCAACGGGAATCAAAATTACAAAGGCCTGAACCGAGATTCGAACATATAGTAAGGTGCCCTCAGATAAAGTCGTATTCATCAGGCAATACTTGGCCTTCAGCCGTTATATAAGTCCTCCCGCGGTTTTAGTGCTGTGGTCAACAGCATTAAAACTTTTCGAAAAATGTTGTTTGTCTAGCAATGTGGTCTGAGACCTTACTGATCCGTTAGCATTGGTAAATAAATGCATATTATTAATAATATGTTGGAAAGTGGCAGCCAAACAGGACTGTTTGCTTCACTCAAACAATTTGTATTCCTACGTAATGCGTAGGTAAAATGTTTAGGCTAGAATTAAATATTCATTTTAATATACATATATTGTAATTAAATCCTAGATTGAGTACAGTCACATAACATTGTTAGCTATTTAATTTATCTCATGGTACCAGTGAGTTCTACCATAGATTTAATATTTTAAACTGTTGTATTAACAAATACCATAAACGTATAATATTCTTATTTATAACAATACTAAATGATTTTGATATAAAACCCATTTTAATTTGATTGTTAATATCATGTATATTAACAATTTCATAAAAATGGTTTTTACTCTAAATAATAACCGTCCACGTCCATAAGATACGTTATGTCCAACGAATGACATTTTGTATTTTTTTTTAAAATAATATGCAATGCAATTTTATTGCTGACTGTACTCAACAGGATTTCGATAATTAAATTAAATGGAATGAAATAATTTTGTATTATTTATAAGAAACAATTGAATATTTATGATGGGCTGGGCCCTTGATTTGATTTAATACCATATTTTTGTATTACGTACGAGGTACAAATTACATAGTCAAATTTTGTTTTAATAATGGCACCAATGGAGTGCATTGTCTATATTTTCAATACAGTTGTATATTTACAATTCAGATCAAATTTTGGTAAACTGTTCAAAAGTTACATTATTATACATATGTAGATATCTAATGATGTTTTAAGAACGTTCTTACCAAAGTGTGCGTTATTAGTCAGTGTTGTCAATTTTTTCAATATTTCTGAAACTAAATCATTTATCATATTATTTGAAAAGGTCTTTTGAAGTAAATTATTGAACAGTCATTTCCACGATTACAGTTATATTGAATTTTAAATAATGTATTGAAATATTTTAAAGCTTCAAAACCAATATAATGCACTTAACATCGAACAAGTTTTAATTCGTATTTCCAGCGTGCGATATTATACAAGATATATTGTTGTATTTTTAGTAGTATATCTATATTCTTTAGTAATGATTAAGTTCGCCGCATAGCACTTCAATGATTCTAAAATATTGATAAAATCTATTGTTTTTAAAGGACATTGCGAGAATCCTGTATGAACGTTTCTCACGGCTATGTAATTATGAAATAATTTATAAATGTACCTCGATTTGAAGTCTGAATTAGTTGAAAATGTAACGTCTGAAATTTGAAGTCTCGAATGATAATGGTGAAATTCAATGATTATTATTTATAAAATGTGCTGGTGATGGATATATGTTGCTTTTTATTATATTTTTTGAATTTGAACATGTAATCGAAGCGAATGCTGAAGTCAAAAATTACTGTTGTGACCATTCTATCTAAAGGACACATTCATTATAAATTAGAATTCGGAACGTTATATATAATTATCATAACAACAATGCAAGTGGATACAAATGGACAATTTCTGGCAAATATTGTTTTAAAACTTCAATGCAATTAGTCCTTCCTTCATAAAATATGAATACACTAAGTAAATAATAAAACTATCCAGAAAATAGACTTTGTACGTTTCCTCTCACAAACTTCTTGGACTGATTCAGTACCACCAAAACTACGATAACGTTGGTTTGTAACAATTATAATTAAATTGACATTATTTATCAATTAAATTTATAAATGGTGTGGCCAACTGAGTAATAAAAGTCCAAATAAATTTATTTTCTTATGCAAAATAGTTTTATTGGACTAGGGATTTTAACAGAAGTGTTAAGATTATTTTTTACTACTAGTATCTTTATTTATTATTGTAATTAATGCGATGGCTCGTGACCTATGTCAATTTATATGTAATACGAGTCGTTTCTAATCTATTGTTAATATTAACAGTTGGGTTCCCTACGAGGTGATTACAGATATCGCACCATTTTTTTTTACTGATTTAATAATACACTGCATTAACTCTAGGCGTTGTGGCCTGTGGTATAACTATCTCGACTTACACTCAAAAGGTCGTGAGTTGTACACCAAGGACAAAATGTAAAAATAATCCTAGAGACGGCGGTAGGAGTGGCCGTTTAATTCAACGTGTTAAATTAATAAAAGTCCATCGTCGTCGTCGCTCCACCCAGCGGGCCACTTGTTTTGTATATTTACTATTAAATTAAAAAAAAAAAGGTTAAATTCGATTTTCGAAAATATGTATTTTTTTAGTTAACGCAGTTTATTATTGATCGTGCGATGTATGTATGTAGCGAACACATGTGTTTTACATGTGTGATCAAAATTCTCTCGTTGCATCACTTAAATATTTACCTAACACTTGTACATGATACTGACATTTTTAAAGATACATTCCAAATTTCTTACGGCCCGTAGAACATAGTCGCCACCAGTAACTAGTTAGAAAGCGTCCTCTACGTATTACTATGTACAAATTATTGCCCTTTCTTTTTAATTCGAAATTGTTTAAGAATAATAGTTGCCATGTATAAATATTCTTTTTATAGTGAAAACATATGATTTTTTTATATTACTTATATTATAATTATACACTTGTTATAATTTCCCATTGTAAATAAAATAATTAATATTCCTAAACGATTTCGATTAACGAATCTAGGGCCCTAACATAGAGCTTTTTCTCGGAACATTTCGTGTTGCGTGTACATTATGTAAATATTTTTTACACAACGCTATATAGAAATGTTATTTTTATGTATAATAAAAGTTTTTTTGGCGTTTTTATCGAATTGTTGTATGCCTTACAATGTTGATGTTCATTGGACTAATTTATGTTGGAGTAAAGTAATATTAGTAAATTTAATCGTTTGAAAAGCAATATTAGTGCGAAGATAGGGGGCTAGGTTGGGTAATGTAATTGTTGCCTACGTGAAAACAATTTGTAAGAGATTATTGTTTTGTAAAAATTGATGACATTTTATTTATTTTAGACAATTTATCGATAAATAGGTCTGATGGGATTAAGATATATTTATTACCTATGGGTGTTGTTTTGGGATTTTATTATTACATAATTTCATTCAATAACTTTGTGAGACAATATGTGAGTAATATTGTGTTAATAAAGTAATAATGTACAGTGAACAATAGTCCCATGAACAGTAACTGTAATATTTCCAACGAGTGTACTGGCAACACTAGTTGGGTTTGTTGTATTACATACCTGATGTTTTACTGCGTTCAGCTCTCCTATCAAATGTTTTGTGAACGTATTTTTTCGTTGCCGGCTATGGATTGAAATAAATCATCACAATTTTATAACTTTTATTTTTTGTCATAATATTCCCCAATGTTGATTCTTTAAAAGATATTATCTATTATAATAAAACGATCATATATTAAAAACAATGTATTAAAAATTATATATAAAAATACAATCTTAAATAGATTGATTACAAATAAAAATTATGTCACTAAATATAGTTTTATCAAAAAATAAAATAAGAAATGCGTGCCATCAGAAACCATCGAAATGAGAGCATCATTTCGATGGTTTTTTTACGTACATAATATTGCACTATCCGTAAAAGCGTGCATTTATTTTATAACAGCTATTTAGTATTTGTACACCAAATATATATAAATTATATTGTTTCCAATAGAGACATTAAAACTACATACAGGTTAGTTAAAAAGATATGCTAAGTCAAAAGCCAGGTAAAATACACATGAAACTAAACCACTTACACCAAGGAACAAAGTAGAAATTTGAATATATATTATGAACTTTCATATTAGTCACGTGACCGCGCAGTTTATACAAAGGTTTAAAGGTTATTTTCAACTTTCTACTTTGTATCATGAATATTATCATTGACTTTCAGGTAACCAGGTATCTTAACCTAAGTACGTAATTTGACTATTAAGTAGTGCCCTCCGATAATTTTTAGAGACCTAATTTCACTATTGAAAGCGCAACTTTATTTTTTATTAATAGTCTAATGTTTCTGTTGATATTATATATAAGTAGTTAAATTGTATATTATTATAATATATATTAAGCTTTATTACTCGAAACAATTTTCCCTAGAAATAAAATAAATAATAATTAAAATTGGCAATAAACACCACAAATCACCAAAAGTAAATACTATTCACGGTACAGTTGTGATCAGTTACTGCTAAAACTGAAGCTATTTTACACTGAACCAAATTACAACGGTGATTGTCATATTTTTTCCAAACTAAAATAATACATTATATATTAATTCTTACAGCACCATTTGCAATGTGTTATAAATACTGAACTTCTTGGTGTATATAATAAACAGTGGGACTTCACTCCGCCCTTATTTACAAAATGTCAAACGTCTACTAAACTTACTATAATATAAGTAAATTTAGTAGACGTTTGATTTATATTTTAGAATTTTTGGTTGAATGTTTTTTTTTTGCACATGGTAATATTTTTATACTACATTGTTGAGAAGGGTACGGCCCATCTGATGGTAAGCAATTACCGTAGCGTACTTACTCTTAGAAGCGGTAATCGATTTATTCTAACAAGCTTCCATTACCTAACATTTAGTATTTGTTTCGTTTTAATAGACTAACAAAAATGTAAAACCTAATTATACCCCGTAAAACCTATTATATTACAAATTTACCGGGGTATACCCGGGTATAAAGTCGTGGGTAAAGCTCGTAGATTATAAAATTATAGTTATATAAATAACACATTAATCGTTATCTTTATTTACTCTTGAATCTTCAAATTGCTAGGTTTTTGTGGCACTGGGGGTTTCCCTGAGCCGTCCAGTTGACCGTCTAATGCAGTGTAGTCCAAGTCACCATTGTCTTCTGGTTGGTCTATGATGTCCACAGGTTCCACAGAGTCATCTAGGAAGTTAACTGGATTTGCTTGCTCCCTATAATGACATGAAGTTGATGGGTAAGTAGACATAAGATTGTGTACTGAAAAATAAAAATAAGTAAAGCAGTTAATCAGCGGACTTCAACAGTTTAAAAAATACAGAATAACTTTATGTGAATGCTAAGCAATACCTTGCAATTTAATTGTCTGTTTGAATATTGATGGTTGTTCCAAATTTGTTATTTTAATTAATAAGTTGTTTAGTCTCTACTTCATAATTTTTAGAGAAAAAAGATTGGAACGATATTTTATGTCAATAAATAAAAACAGAATAACTCGAATCTTAAAAAACAGGACATAGAGTATTATAGTAACAAAGCCATATATTATTTAGAACAAAACCCATAAAATATATCAGCATCCAATAGTCTGGAATGAAATGTTATGTTGTTGGTCCCCGTACATAAGTGACATTTAAATATACACAATAAGTATTATTGTTAGAAACATACACATGGACTTCAAGATTGAGAGGAAATGAAAATACATTCAAGATATTCTTTTATACCGGAAGGAAGCGGTGTGGTTGTGAGTGACGGGGATTATTGGCCCCCTTGCTCTAAATATACCCAGTTAGCACGACCACTGTCGCAGCATTCGTCCATTAAGCTACCTTACTTCAATCACTCTAGTTTAGTGCCCCGCCAGAGGTATCACAACACAGAAAGCGGATATATATTTTATGTGATTAATTATGAAATATATCATTATTCACAATATAACATATATATTTATGCCCATAGATATAGTGCAAATAATAATAAACAAGTATTACTTACACATAAGTCCAAAACGTTGTTCCCTTATATAGCAGAACCCTACCATCACCTCTTGCAACACCTGCCCATAAAATTATAGTGCCCAATGAATATATCATGTGGCCAGATTTTAAGCCTATAATATGGGTTAAAATCTGGACGACGACAGTTCATGACTTGGTGTGTAAACGCATGATAAGCTTTCTTTATAATAAGCAATTCTGTGATATGACCACTATGGATGGAATGGACTTGGTTATAATGGTAAGGTATATGAAGCCGAAACCTGGTGATAGATCTGTATATATGAAAATGTTTGTTTCTGTTTTTTTTTACCTGGCGCTATAAAGCACTTAAAAAAAACTAGTTAATGTAAGTCAAACATTAATAGACATTGGTATAATGCTGTATTTCTACAGAACTCTATACAACAATATTATATATAATATTATTGTTGTAATATATTTACGTATGTAATAATATATTTCAATATTTCAAAAAAACTGCGCGCTATTTTGATATGTTGATATATTTCAAAATATTAACAATTTTATATCGCCACTACTTGATATGGCAACCAAAAATAAAACACTACACATTTTGAAATCTTTAAACATATTTACAAAAAGTATTGTATTGATTCTACTCTGTATAGTAAATGTTTCAGCCCACTGGGCCTGAAAGATACTATACATTGGTAATACGATTTAACTAGCGATATTTTTTCTCTAATTTGATCGCTAAGCGTTTTACAATATAATCTGAATAATATATATAAATATGAAAGCTAAATATATATATTTTCTAAATTATAATTCTCAGAGTGCACAGGACAGAGAAAAACATGAGAATAGTTTTACAAATTCCGTTTTATTTTATTCATAGGCTTACATATTTTGTCATTAAACATTAATGTCAGCTAGCGTAAATAGTAAATCACTTAATGTGTACGTGGGCGTATATATTATAGTTACATCCTATATATCGCTACAATACCACATAATACTGAATTTACTCAAAAATTACAATTTGAAGAATGGACGTTAAATTTAAAACTTTGGAGTCGATTTTCCAATATTTTTTATTTTTGAGTTAATACAGTATATTATTAAGCCTGCGAAATCGATGTCTACGTAATGTAGTATGACACTATATTTAAAATTAATATCCGATTAAGACCGTTATTTTAGATAAAAATTAATTATTCAAATAAAAATATCATAAAATGTGTAACAAAATAGAAATTTACATTCATAAAAAAAAAATATGTAAAATAAATCGTTGTGTTCACGAGGAATGCCCCGATTTAATAAATTGTATAATCATATTATAAAAAATATTTCACAATATTTAAAACTTAGAACATAAAAAATATACATTGTTTAACTAACAAGGAGGAATAGAGTTGTATAAAGTAGAGAAATGCAATCAAGGAATGCCAAATACAGGGGAATGTTCTATTTGTAAATAGTAAATATAATATATAAAATAATAAATATAATATATTGTATATATAATAGTTACATGTAATTATAGTGACTTTGGGCGTGACTATATAATGGAATAAATTATTTATTACTTACTCATTACAATTGTATGTAGCATGTTCCCACGGTATACAGCAATACCCAGTCATGGTTAATTAATGACGTCACAACATACAACAATTCCACGATCAAATCACTTCCAATTCCCACATAAAGCTATGGCAATTATTTATTCGAATATAAAATACATGTTTACACTTTACTTAAAAAGAATGGTGTCAATGGTCAAAATAAATAAATATCGCAACGATTACTAATTATTTTTCTTTTTGAGTTATTTTACATTTCGTATTCTGTCCATACTCATTGAAATTATTAGAAGATTGTATACAAATATTATTGGACATTCAAATGTGTTTGGACAAAGCACTGTGTGCTCAAAAAAAAACTACATAAAACCACACTTTAAAAAAACAAACAGTCAACATGTAACACAAAGTATGACATGATTTGTCAAAATATATAATTTATATTCCAAATTAGAGCCCAATAAAAGTAAAGGCCTGGAAAATAATAAAACTTTACAAGATACACTCTTAAGAATGCCAACTTAATTTTAGGTGATTGGAAGCCAAAAATAATAAGCCGTATTCGTGGCACATACACAATATTATGACATATAAAATCCTTAATTATATTGTTCACAGAAAAAATGTGAAAATGACTAATATTTCTTATATTATACTGTCACATATGCTTACAGATATATCTAATAAATATATAAAACCATGATTTATATGTCATGATATAAAAGCCGAGCGCTCCGCTAGTACGAACCTCTTACCAAATTTCACTTAGTTACTCGTCTAAAAACTCATTTCGTTGTAAAAATGTATAAAAACATTGACACATGTGTAATACTAATGATCATAAGTACTAATTAAGCCGACCGTTAATATTACTTAACTAAATTAGTTTCGTTACTACAGCATACTATTTGACTATTTTTATCATCATAATATATCAATAGATATATGTATTTATTATGAAACTGACGATATCTAATAACTTATATTCCAATATGTAAAAAGAAATATGTATTATACAGTATAAAAAATAAAATATAATATTTCGTCAGTTATGTTTTTCAACTGAAAGTGTTACGTTCTTGTCTATCTTAGGAGATAAACCAATCCGAAGGAAGGATTAAATTAATTAAAGGATTGTTATATATTAGATATTTTAGGCGTAATATTGATAATACTAATACTATTCTATTCTCATATAAATACGAATCAAAGTAATTTTTATTAAACAATATTGTAAAATATTATATGAATATTGACGTCCAACTCAAATATATGCTGCAATAATGAACACTCTAGACCTGCGTAGGCCACCTACTCTATGTATTAATAAGTTACAATATTACATACAAATGTTACATACAGTTACACAATCCCACCTATCCAGCTGTCCCGTGGACGACACATGTTATCCTTCACCAGTGCAACCTAACCACAGTATGGAATGTTCCATTTCAGTCAAAGTACATTATGGCGAGAATAATAATTAAACCATTTTAAACATTATGTTTACACTAATAGAAGGGAATTAGGAGTCAATCCAGACAAAACAAAATATACTTTAACTTGTATAAACCTTGGTAAAAAGTAATAAATTAAATCGTTCATATCAGAAAGGATGAGATGTTTCATTGGAATGTATTATTTCGTATGATTTCGAATAAAACGAACATTAGGCAGTTTTTGAATCAATTAAACTAAAATCACATAATTAAATTTAAAATTAAATTATTTTCTTAAACTCAATCGATTCATACTCAAAATTTATAAAAATTAATAGGGAAAGAAACTTTCGATTGCAAGATTGAAATCACAATACGATTTCAATCTATTTCTATGGCAAAAAATCAATTTACTGAATCAAACACTATTCGTTCATAGCATTTTAAGAATGCCAAATTATTTTTCTCGCCAAATGTATCATTACATGTAATAAGCACTCATTATTGCGCGACCATTACATTATCAAATGTTTAATTTGAATTCCTTATAATATTGCTTGTACCAGAAGGTGGGTAATATTTTATATCAAAACAAGTAGATTGTTTTTATCAGAATAACGAAAAAACTGCACATTGTAACTCTTCTGATTTAAAAAGTAAAGTTTGCAATTGCATATCCCATCAGTTGGAAACCAATTTAGACTATAATAAGATAAAATAAGTCATATAATCCATTATTATGCGTAAGCATTCTAACATTTTACTACGTTAGACATCTGTTGTCACGGATTTATATAAATTTATAGATAATATTATAGAATTTAATTTAAAAATAAATTAATACCTTTTCTGATTAATATATTGAATTACTTAATCATCAGCTCAGTCTTTATTATATATATTGAATTTAAATATTTTATTAAACAAATGAGGCAAAAAACCACGTGTTCATGATTCAGTTTAGTAATGAATTTCAAGTTAAATTTAAAAAATAATTATGCTTACAACCGTAACCTCATACGCTAACCAAAGACAATTTATAACTTATCACCATCGTTGTAAATGTAACGAAAAATATTCTAAAATATCAATGTACAGTTTTCTCGGTAACGTTGCACACATGAGCCTGAATTACATTACAAAACTACCGATTTCACGTGACACAATTACAACTTTATTGCAAGATATTTAAAGTGGATAATCCAACTAAAACAAACAAGTATCAATCATTTAAAAAGAGTGCAACCAAGAGCGTTTACAAGTTTCTGATGCACTCTGAGATTTTGTAATGTAAATCGGGAATATATCTTAAGATAAGTCCATAGCGACACTAACATCTTAACATTCTTTTTAATTGATATTTGTATTGTTAGATTTCGTCGCTGTGGGCTATTACTTAGGGTTTCGCAGACTTACTCCTTGGCGACAGGCGCGTCCATGGTTGGAATGTAGTCGAGTGCCATGAGACACGCGAACACCGTCATGATCATCTTATGCTTCCGTTCAGTGATGTCCTCCGGCAGTGCATACACTCGCGCGCCGCAGCGACGTGCCATCGATATCGCGTATTTGGCGTTCGCTAGGTTCTCCTGTAGATAAGCGAAAATGAAAAGTTAATACTAAATGGAATGTTTCTTGTAGTGCTGTACATTAATACTTAATGTATTGGCGACCAAGGTAATTTCTTTTGACATTTCATTATTTTTATATGTAGTGTATAAAAATATTGGATATACATATATATGTACGTTTTCCAACACATATACGAGGAAACAGAACAATAAACGATATTCTATTTTGTTCATTTTTAATTATGGTGCACACTGTTGTTTTACTTTTTTTAATCAGCGCGCTGCCTACTGGATGGCGCCGCGTGGTAGTAAGTTTGAAATTTGAAAAAAAAAAAAATAGCAAATAGTGTGATATATAGAAAACCGGTGAAATTAGATTTACTTTAGTGAGCAAGTGTATTGAAAACACTTTTTTTTTCATATAATAAATAGGGTGTCTATAAAGGATTATTAAAAATGTAAGAAATAAATGAGTGATAAAATGTTTTTGTAATCAGTGTGGTCACTATTTTAGATAGATACCTCTTCGGTGCCGCCGTGCAATACCAGGTCGTAGTTGATGGATCCCGGCTTGATAGCGTCGATCAAATCGATCACCACCTTGCCGTCCGCCAATACTTCATCCTGTCACAAAATACAGAAACTGATATAGAAATACTATGTTTTAACTCAAGGTTTTGAAGTGAGAAATGCTCATCTTTATCATATCCTCCATACTATTAAAAAAGTGAATCGTATGCCTTAATACGTAACAGAAAGGTTTGGCATTGACGTAAAGATTAGTATGAAGACGAACGCAAACTAGTTTTAGTGCCTGTTAACCCATTTGTTAAAACTAGTTATGACTATGTGAATCGTGTCCGTTCCGTTCATAAAATATGTGCTCTTACAAAATATAATAACCAATTTTTTATTTATGCTATAAATGATGTCTAAACTATTAATAAATACTATATTAATAATAAATAAATACTACAGTATTCATTTATTAATTACAATAGGTACTTATATTCAAAGATCTTGCGTAACGATGTTTGTACGGCATAAACTACGAAACCATTCAACCAAATTTTAACAAAATTTGACTCGCCAAATATAATATAGTTTTTATATAATATACTTATTAGATATCGTTGTAAAAATTATAAAAATAAATTTGGTTATTATACAAAATTTCTTCAAATGCATGAGTACAGTGGATTAGATATTGATGACATTCACCTGGAAACTCCTGATTGAGGACGACTTTCCGGCAGCCTGCAGTTTGTTGTTCACCCACTGTACGATCTCCTTCTCGATGATGGGGTTGCCAGTGTTGGCGAGTCGCGTCAGCACCGACAGTGTGTACGCACGCATCAGTTGCCAGATTAGAGCTAAGTATATAATAACAATAGAATTATTATAAATGTTAATGTATGTATATTACATAAGGTTGTTTTATTTTATTTGTTTGTTTTATTTCTTAGCGCCTTTAAAGCTTAACTAATCGTAGTGGAAATAATAGTAGATATTACAAAAATGTAGTCTCAAGCATAGTTAAAATATTAGGTATATTATGTATTATAAATTATTACTCTCATTATATTAATTGTAAGGTGCACTTACAAGACGTTTTGAAGATCCACGTCATCGTTAACGTGAGTTGTGAATACGTACCGAGCGTGAGTGTAGCGTTCCCTTCGTTGATATCAGCGCCAGCAATCCCTACCAGCGAGAATCCGATCCGGCGGCCGAGCTCTACAGCATAGTTGCAGTTCTCCAGCCGCTCCATGAACTTGCGAAGTTTCGAGAACTGCCGGTGTACCTAGGTGCACAAAATAAGGAATAAATATTTCTTCCACCCCGATCGATCGAATATCTATATATAACGATGGTGTGAGCCTACCTTCTTCCAGTCGACGATGCCTGGCTTGATGATGTCGTACAGTTGGAAGATCACGAGGCCATCAGTAAGGTCCGAGTACAACCAGTTCACGTGGGGCGCCACGCCCATCGAGTTCATCCAGTTGCGGTACGCTGTAATGCGTAATGTGATTATTTGAATGCGAAAAATTAAACATATATTAAAGTTTCTCTTAGCATCTAATTTCATATTAATCAATCATTTAAAAAAGATATAAAATTAATAACATAACATTATATAATGGAATAAACTAAAGAAAATTTTATAATACTAAGATGAAACATAATAATTAATGAAACTGACCTAATTTTTCTTAAAAACAGCCATGAAAATATTATAGCGTTTTTGTTCATGACCCTTCTAGCGCTACTGACGCGGGATTACATTACACGGGAACAAACTGGTTTATTCCAGTTTTTTTTTTGAAACGCGAAACCGTGATTAAACTGATTTCCTTATACTGCGCTCTAATTAGATCGAAATTGAAACCATAACTTATAGATCTGAACAAATACGGTAAATAAGCTTACTCTTCTCCTCCCTGGTTTCGTCGAGCTGATGATACTCCTCGTGGTCATCCTGCCGCTGCAGCCCAGGGTGTTGGTTGAACAGATTGGCTACAAACGCCAAGTTCAGCTTGTACACGCCACCGACTACGTCGGATGGGGTCACGAACGCGCGACAACGAAGCTTGGCCGCCTGCTGCAGCATCACCTCCGCTCGACGCATTGCGTCGGTTTCCTGAAAGAAGGACGAAGGCATATCTTTATTAGTAGAAGCGATAACACGAAACTGTTGTATCTTCACGTTATTTGATTTAATAAGGAGATACGCTGCATTGTAATAATTAAAATATGGGGCAATTAATTACTTTTCTTCTTTTGTCGCACACTTGAAAGAATGGTCGTGGCTTTTATGATGATATCAGTGGATTGAAATGAATTACTATAATAGATTAAATTAATTCAAATAATAATCTGTCATTATAAGAATTTACATTTACATATTTTTTATACTGCATTTATAAAAAAAATTGTATACTATTAACTAAGTGTCCCTTTAAAAAGTTTCAGAGATACATAAAGAACTAGCTGTCACCCGCGACTTTGCATGTATGGTGTTTTCAGTTCAGTTATTCAAAATTCTTTCCTATATAAATTTCAGTTCATTTAGCTTTGCTATTTAGTCAAACAAATGATTTTATAAGTATGTATAAGAAGTAGACAAATCTAATTATGTTATATTTCTGAGCAAAATTTCGTAAATGATTTTTTAAATTATTGACTTCAGTCAACATATTCAAAATAATAAATATTTTGTACAATTTCATCAATTTGCGTTTCATTTGTGTCAGTTTTTTATAATAACTTTCCATGGGAACGAATAGACAGAAAATATTGAGTACGGAGTATAACGGAATATCGTACATACCCTGAGGGCATCTAGAGTGACGCCAGCATCGTCTGGTGCGATCTGCTTGAGCAGGTACGAGTAGATCTCCGAGTCTGACACGTCCTGCTGGAAGTTGGTGCAGCGGCGAGTCACGCCGGCCGACTGCAGCTGGTGGTTCACCCAGCGCAGCAGAATAGCCTCGGGAGACAGAGCCAAAAGGTCCTCGATACGTTCCTGAAAACAGAAGTATATTTATTGGCAAAAATACAATTTGGAAACACAACATACCTTCTTTTTCCTTCGAAAATCCGAGCATAAAGTCTTACAATTTTATTATAAATTGTCAAGCACGGGTTTTGACGGTCATCATAGCGAACGCAAAACTTGACATTGCCCACATTTCTCTCAGTATATTTGAATTCAATGTTGTAGAACAGTCCAAGGTCCAAAGTGGTCTACTGCCGTCTATTGTATTAATTTTGATTTATTATCGTAGTAGATATAATTTGACAGACATAATGTTTTTTTTTCTAGCTAAATTTAATATCTATCTCTGGGTAGTAAAGCACAAGGCTTCAACAAACAAGAAAGTACTGTTGGAATGACAATTAGAACTGAACATATAAGGAGCAGAAGACTCAGTACATTGGTCATAAGGAGTGGTGAGAATAATTGTAAAGATGTTTTGTTAGTGTAATTACAAACAAGTTGACGTCCCACTAGTTAAAATATGATAAACGTCGCTGATAGACACGATGATCACAATTTGCGATGGACATGGCACAACGAAGTTTCATTGCTCTGAGACCCTGTAATTTCTACGATATTTCTCACCCATTAGACTTAAACACAGCGTACAAACAAAGCTACTTAGCGGGAGAAATATGCAATACATTGGCGACTTTGTACGAAGTCTACCTCTATTATAAATGTAAAGAATTAGTTTTAAACATTCCTTTAGCACACGTTAGTAATAAATAAATATATGATATAATAAATATAAATATATGAATGGGGTTAGTACACATTTATTTATATAGTTAACACGAATATTCTATTTTAAATACGGCGTTTACCTCTCTCGACGTTTCGACAAGGTTGCACTAGCCGTGATCATCACTGACTGGTGTACAGCAATGTCAATGTGAAGTGTTAGCAGTTAGTTCAATTACCGTCACTAGATTGTCTAACGAAAGACAACACAGCACTCACAGTATGCGTACACTTATGCCTAACCAACTTTCAAACTTATTTATCACTGTATATCCATAAGGTGATAACTTGGGTTATGACGATCAATGGACGACTTTTGACGTATGTAACTCTATCCAGTGATTTGTCCCATCATTCAGCAGATGATCGGCAACCGCAGACTTATGTGATTATCTATTTTTAACAGCTGCAATGCGCTCTTTGATTCTTTGAGCTATAGAGACTTTTGTTTGGCGAATATGAGAGCTACCACAACTGCAGTCAATTTTGTAGATACTGGGAGTAGCTTAGACTTCGGTGAACATAAATTATTCCTTAGTTTGGAAGATGAACAATAGTCTTAATGTGTATTTATTCGATGCTGTTTCAATTGTGTTTGTTATTCTTAAGAGAGTCGGGTATGTAATGTAATTGTCTATTCAACTCCAATTTCTTATCTTTAGAACCAACTCACTGTGTATATGTATCTGTATCTCCAAAAATCTACCGAAGTTTACCTTCCACAAACACAGGGACCTAGAGGTTCTTGTGGCCGTGGTCGTGGTAATGCCTGATTGTAGATGTCGGGTGATGGTGTAAGAAGGCATGTAGGTATATAACTGTGTGTTTCCGATATACTGTGTGTAGTCGTCATCAGATTTCTCCATAACAGGGACGCACACCATAATAAGGCAGGCAGTTTAGTTTTGATGTGAAAATGCACCATATCCCATTAAAATTATGATATAATATGTATTTCTTAACACTCTTACAAAACAGAAATGTAAATGCATGCAAGTAAATACACTGCATAGTTATAAATAATTTTATTTGCGAGAGTCTGGTGTCTGAGCTAGGTAAACTTTGTATTACAGATCACCAGGGTCTCACACACTGACAATTAGAAAAACATTCAAGATATAATTGAGAGAAGAGTATACATCGTAATGGTAGAAACAATATATTAAGACAATATTTTAAAGTATATATTAATTAAATCTAGTGTTATACTAGGTAATAATATGGTTATTTGTTTCTTTCAGATGGGAAGTTGTGTAAATATTTGTGTAATGAGGTAGGTCGAACAAATATTTTACGAACGATGACTGAGATGTATTTCTGGGAATGAGAACATGTCATTATCAGACATTAGTGAATACAAAGCAAGTATATTTAAGAATTACTGAAGAACAACTCAAATATCAGCCTTCATAATTTTATGGCTTACCGAAGATATCATAGGTAATGGATATCCATTACCTAAGTAAAGAATAAATAATATAATTTATTGGTCTTACTATTGAACAATAGTAAAACATATTCGACCAATATAAATCATTTTCTGTTAAAGAAATCACCATTTCAAGGACTGGACTAAACAGGAACTTAACGAGATAAGTATGAGTAATAATTTTAAATCAGGTACTTTAAAATCTTTATTTACCTTTATAATAAGTGGACAAAGGTAGTCAACTATACGCTATTAAAGAAACAACATTCTCCTCAAATCTATAGTCGATATTCTTTATCAGGAAGAATACTAACTTCAAATATGTAGTTGCTTAAAAATATTTGAAATACCTAAATTCCATACAAGTAAAAACCAACATTACAATGTAAGTGGAGGAAGAAAGGCAATAGTTAAGGGGACTCATATGTCATATGTTACTCATATGTTAAGGGGAGGTTTGATATCTCTGTTACACACACATATTGGAAACCGAGTCACACTGATAGACACCAACAAGCCCTACCTCCTCACACTAGAATCAGTAGTTACCACACTCACAAACAGATCACAAGATGTCAATGAATATGAGTTTCTGGTGAAAATCATTCTTTCGAAGTAATGCCTGCCTTTAAAAGTAATTAACAATACCGATCTCCGAAGGATACGTTAGCCATACTAAACGCCAGATATCTACAAAATTGAATCCTGGGGTAGCCTCTGGAATGGGACAAATCACCAGATAGAATTACAGCGCCAAAGAACTTCTCCATTGGATAATAGTCACATAAATGGGATAAAGATGATATAAAGTAAAAAATACTCTTTCAACAAGAGAGACGGCTAAAAGTCATCCGGGTAATACAAAGATAAATAAGTTTAAACGAGGTTCGGTAGCATAACACATTAAGTGTTATGGCTCGCATCTGTCGTTGGACATTTTTAACAAACTGCTGACATCACTGTACTCCAGTTAGCTAGTGACCACGATTATGGCATCTTATTCGAAACATCGAAAGAGGTAAATACCATATTTTTTTGTGTTAAGACTGTATTAACTATACTACATAAATGAATTAATAGACCACCACCATAGCTACCATCACCACCAATAACATATATTATATGTATGTCTCAGCCTCAGTAAGAGTCAAAACTCTTTGGTGCATACACAATAATTTCACCATGGGAGAGAAGAGCATAAAGCCCTACTACACTCCGTTCCAATAGAGCTTACTAAAAAGGTAAACAAAGAACTCATTAATCCAACTATAGACGATTAAGTTACCTCTTTTCCTGCCAAAAATCAATAACTGCATTAAATATATCGATTAATCTGTTTCAATTTGTTTCACCAAATTAATTATGCATCATTTCAAATACATTAGTACGACTTGTAAGTTTGACATGTGATGTAAATATTAAATTATATATACCAAATTAAGAATTTATAATATAACTTATTCAGTAATAATCAAATCATTTTTCGAATAATAAATACATCATTATTCTAATATCTGTATTATTTGACATTGTTAACTATTATAGTTATTTCTATTGAATATATTGCGATTATCAATTAGATTATTAAGATTGTATTGAACACACAATAGATATTTTTCGTATATCTCTATGCGACTATTGACAAATACAGTTTTTCTATAATTTCATTAATTCATTTTGCTTAAAATTTTCGCGTAATATTCTACAAATACAATTTAGACAGTAAATACAAATAAATACTGTCGAAGCTTGTGGCCGTTTTACGAACTAATTTGATTTGATATTACTGAGGGAATCACAGAAATATTAATTAGCACTGAATCTTTTCGTGTCTGCTGGTTTCAAACTCACGATTTTTGGAGCCCAAGTCTGGGTTAGTTGGAGGGTATTTTTATTGCTAGCAATAGGTACAAGTGTACCTATTGCTAGCAATAAAAATAAAAATATAAATACAATAAAAATACCACCCATCTCCCCCTCTCTTTAATATACTTTCCCCTAAAAACTACCTTTGTTGAATTAACAAGTGAATTCGTCACGATTGGATAACAAACTTCATACTATCCCCATCTTATTAACCTCCACTGGTGCCCCGTAAGCGTATACTGTTAGAGCAGGCGGGTGTCCCATTAAAAGAAAGCCAGAAGTAGTAAACCTGACCTCAATGTCACGAACTCTTTTACCACACACTGACCAACAATTAAGACGTCATACATAGATACCTGTTCATTGAGCAATTCAGTGAGTCCAGGACAGTGTTCCAATGTGATCTGATTGAAGAGACCTATGCGGATGATCTGCCACAGCAGACCGAGTACCAAGTGGGGTTTGCCTGTAAACACAATACATGTTATCCATCAAGAAACAAATTATGTTACCAATATTATAAAGGCGAAAGTTCGTTATTATGGATAGATGGACCACTTCAGAAGAAGTAAAAATATGATAAACATGATAATACCTAGCATAGTATGGATGGCCTTACCTTTAGCGAGGTCGTGTGCGTCAATATTGACGATGTTGCAGCCGATGGCTTGCGAGGAGACCAGGGCCAGCGTCAAGTTCTCATGCTTCGTGTACAGAGTCAAGTTCTTCTTGTTGATGGCGCGCTCGTCAATAGTGTCCGGACACGAGTGATTAATAACCTTGCTGTGAATGAAATAAAGTATTTTGTTCAATGTTAAATTGTTCTTATGAATTCTTATGTAGGTATATATCGGGGGAAGGAAATGTCTTAAATTAGACTATAATTAATAGCTTCAATCTATCTGTAGAATAAGTATTCATTGAATTGATGTAAAAGAAACTATTAGAAAATAGGAATACCACATACCAAAGTATGAGACCATCTTTCAGTCTCTCATAAAGCTGTTTGCCTTCAGGGTCTATGGGTAGAAGGTGTTTGAGATCTGGATCATGCTCCAGATTGCTGTTAATCCACCCGGAGAACGCGATTTGTTCTTCCAGACGTACAGAATGGGTTGTGCCTGAAACAGATCATGTTACTAATAAGGAGACATGTAAAAATACATAATCTTTAACATTTGAATTATAATGTATATGTTTTATACATATTTTGGGGTCTAAGTTCTGAGCTACTATAAAAACATGCTCTATAATGTAGTATAAAAAAAACTACCATAAAATTAACAGTTGTTTTAGTGAAATTTTGAACTTTTGAACCAGTCTTTATTGGTTTCACTTTCGCTTAGGAGGAGTTGGAAGACTTTGCATTAGTCATATTTACAGACATAACCTCCTCAATAATAATAGTAGTAAAATGTTCGCAAGAATGAAATGAATACCATCGCTCGATGCTTCGCTCATGCCGCCTAAGTGTTCCAAGTTTTCTTTTTTACTAACGGCTTGTTTGAAAGTACTGGCCACCTGTAATTAAAACAAATAGGATATCTATTAAGTTTTTGTGGATCAGGGGAAGGCTTGTCACTATTGCTAGCAATGTACCTTTTTCATACAAGAATGCAGCAGCTGACTGTCTACATTGTGGAAATTGGAAATAAATTCCTGATGAAATTACCACGATGAGCTAACTGACTTGATTTCATGTTCACCATCAGATTATCATCCTCTATCTTATATCTTGCTACACAAAAATCCTTAGCGCACCAACAATTATTAATGATAATGGAATGTGGAGAGACATTCCATTATCATTAATAAAAAAAAAAAACGGTAAGCTATTTTATATAATTTAAATATTATAATGTTAAAAGCAAGAATTTTATCACTGATAACGACATAACATAAATATCATAATCGTTAGATAAATTACAAGTTTTAAATATCTATTAATTAATTATATTTATCAGAACAGTGATAACAAATTTAGAAAGCTGTGTAATCGTTTTCCGACTAATAACGAACACTGATATTATAAACAGGCAGTGAATATGTTAAATACATTTATTTATAGAGAATCTTCTTTTTTTTTAATCTCTTCACCACCTATGGTTGACTGGTAGAAAATACCGCATGGTGTAAAGTCCGCCAAACCTTTTGTATTGTGTGCATTGAAGTTAAATCAATAAATATCACAGAAACTATCTGTATTTGAAATATCTATTAGAATAATATATTATTCCAGATTGACGTATACTATGTTACATATATTATGATACCTAGGGAACGTAGATACTAGTTATTAATATATAATAATAAATGTATTATATCTTTATTGGCGACGAGTCCGTCCATAATCCAATAATCTAAATTTCTTACGCAAATTCTTAACAGTTTTTTTTATATTTTAACAATATTAAAAAAAAACTGTTTTCACTTTTTGTGCTAGCCCCGTGTAAATTTTGTCAAGATTGCAGATGAACGTACGTGAAAGAAATTCTTATCTGAATACACTTATCTTATAGTAGCAACAGATATAATTTTATTATTTATTTTCTTTACGCAAATACACTAATCTAGAATAAACAGTAAACGAGTTTGGTAAAGTAAATAATAATATATTTTATCTATACTTTACTTTTACTCTCAACAAATGTCTCTCAATAAAATGTCTATATGTACAGTAATCACAGACACAGCAACGAATTAAGTGTTTTGTTTGTGTGTCTATAAAAAGTAGCTGTTTGCAGTACATTGACCTGTTTGTGAATATATTCGCAGGCGTTAATAGCTAATTTGTTAGAGTGTGTACAGCATTAAAACAATAACACTATCTACCACGGGGAAATAATAAAGTAAAATGTCCTAAGTTTTAACCTATGGATAAGTGAATGAACCCTGTCAAATACAAAATTATAAATGATAAATAAGCTAACAGCTCACCTAAGTCATGCCTCAGTATCCAGTAAATCACTGCCAAATCTCACATATCAAACCGAAACACAGCTTACAATCAAGCTGCAAGGAGACAGTCAAGAGAGGTAACCAGTGAGACGGTTTTGTACAAAGTCTATATAGGCTAGATTATTAACGCAAATTAGATTACATAGTTTTTTATGTTTTTTAGAGTCTATTGTTTATCTGTTGACAAATTGCTATTAAAATTTTTCATCCGCATTGATGTTACACTACGTTATTTTGAAGATGCACAAGAAATTAACCACTCTTTTGTTAATCTAAAAGGTTTTTTATGTCGGTGTTATAATAATTCTGTCAAGACAAAAGTCGGTTTTTTTATTACACAGCCGACTTTAATCTTGACAAAGTCAATCAATTGACACTGTCAAGACAATATTATAGTATTACATTTTATCTTATACCATTTCGTAGTATTCGATAAATATGTTTATAACAACGTACATTGCCTATTAATCACATTACTCACAATTGTGCCTAATTTCTTTTTATGAAATCAATTTATTGTCTTATTGCTTTATTGACGCAACTCGGGCTTAATCAATCAAATGATAAGTGTTAAGGCGTGAACGAGTCAATGGGTTCAGACTGGTTGACTTTTCAATTGCTTACCGTGAAAAAATTCCAACTTTTTTTTAAACTAGCGAAACTGTGATAAAAATTTACGTCACTTTTTCCATTCTTGCGTTATGCAAAAAGTGAAAAATTAAGTACTAGGTTATAGGTAATAATAATAATATTCCTAGACAATTCACACACCCTAGTTCCAAGCTAAGCAGAGCTTGTGTTATTACTTATTATACTAGACAACTGATTGAAATACATTTTTTTAGATACATACATCATATACATAGAAAACACCCACATCAACACAAACAATTATACTCCAGAATACAAATGCTTGAACCGTGCGAGGAATCGAACCCGCGATCATCGAAAGTAAGGTGATGTGCTTAATCGTTTGACCACGAAAATATGCAACTTGCATACCTAATTTTGCAAGAAAAATGTAAATATCTTAACTATGCAGATTTTGAATTTTGTCTAATGTTTTATATGTATATTTAAACGGTCGTGTGGCGGCGAAGTAAAAACATATCTCTTTTACCACACTTTCTTCCTAGTCAGGAGAGCAGAAAACTACAATACACTAGAAATTAAATAAAAACTGTCCTATAATTGTCAAGACCCATCTTACGTTAAACATCTGAAGACTATTTTTCGAAAATTTGTCATTGTGTATAGAATAAAGTTGCATAGATTAACAATTTATTCAGAACTCTTAATACTAAGATTCTTGTAATCACCAGCTCACCTGTTGTGTCTTTAGATTGGCACATAGCTCCTCAAACTCCCCAAGTGTAATGCCGTTCTTGCGCGCGTCCCCATTCACGCTGCCGTTTACATTTCGGCCGTGTTTTGGCCCGTTGTCGTAGTATTCCTCGATCATGCATCGTACCTGAAAATCGATGGTGAAATGTTATAAATAGGTAATAATTAAAATTGTATTTTGGAAACACATAAAGGTTAATTTACAAGCAGCATTTCGATCTACTTCAGACTCTAGACTCTCACAAGCAATACCTATTCTTTTACTTTCTTGAATGGACAATTTTAAATTTTATAGTAAGGACCCTTGAGAGTGGAAAATAAAGACTATTATTATTTTTACAAAAGATTTAGAACAATACGATTCAATATGGGTAAACCCGCATCTATGTGCCGCAGCAATACAACATGGCTTTTAACTCAGTGTGGGGATTCACTCAATGTACCACATGTTTAAGGAGAATGTTTCTGTTCTATAAAATAATAATTTAACGAAACATATATTTTTTTCGATAATAAATGTTTTATTCTAATTTAATACAACAATACAATTTTATCTACTACCAGGCAAGCTGACGGTCTCACCAGATAGCGTTACAGATTATGACAACATGATATCCGTATTGCTGTCCAAGACGACAGTTACCACTTACCATCAGATGGATCGTCAACTTGATTGCCATTGCAGTTCATAAAATACAGGATAAAACGATCTAGATCTATACATCGATTAATCAGGTGGCATGCTGTATGAACAGGTTGATAAGTACCCAAGAGACTTTTGTAAAAAGATATTCGTATGGGTACTATAGTCTCCTTATTTCAACCGCCAAACAGCTTGCTTTATAAGCTGTTTCGCTTGAAGAGTGACATAAGGCAATGAAATTATAAGAGAAGAGGCATGACAGCTATAGTGCTTTCGAATGGCAAAGTCTGAGAGGTATTACGGGCGTCACATGATAACGTGATGTCCTTAGTGCTGTTCATATATCTATAGGCGAAGATTACCACATATCCATAAGTTGAACGACAGCTTGTTAGCCATTCTAATGACATAAAAAAATGTACGTTCCGACTTACCTTCCATTGTGGTATTTTGTATCCTACACTGTCCAGAGCGTCTTTCAGTTCCTTCAGGTCGATATACCCATTGCCGGATGTGTCCAACTGAAACAAGCAGATTAAAAATTTAATATACTGAACTTTGAACTTTCAAGATATAATCAGAAAATTGTAAATGATAAATAAGGACACACTAAGCCCGTTGAACTTATGCGAAGTTGGGACGGGTTGATGGTTATTTTGAATACTACGATGGTGGTAAACAACAACCTACGGCCCATCTGACGGTAAACGGTTACCATAGTCTATGGTCGTCTGAAACGCCAAGGGTTGCGCTGCCGACCCTTAAGAAACCTTAATATATAGTACTAAGTGACAAGTATTTACCACAGTGATTTTATTCGTGAATATTATCAACATTTTTCATTCGTCCCTGGTATTAACTTTTTTTTATTGTTTTCATACACCTAAGCATATGACCTGACGTCACTGATCACCGGTTCAAAATGATTAGATTAGATTTGGTCGATTCTGTACAGATAAATATAATAAATGCAGGTCACGTATTACTACTGCAATTGACAGGAATGACATCCACTGACTATTGCTAACGTAGGGTTCTGTAGGTACCATATTTAAGATGGCTTCGGTAGTGTAGTACACCGTGTTTCGAATTTGTTATAATTACCTTCGATACTAGTAAATCACAATACTATTCCCAAAGCCGACCGGTCTATGTTAGGAAAAATAATCAATAGGCTAAGTTGATCTTAATAAAGGCTATAATAATAATAATAATAATAAAAGTCGTAAATATTTGTAATTACTTTTCTTATTCTTTAATACTTTAATACCAAGTCTCATTGATAGGCAATAAAAATAGATTTCTTCGTTGTTATAACAAAACCTATTTTGGTATAAAAGAAATAAAATTCACATCAGTCCATTGCATGTTAACATATCAACAGCGACAGTTATTTTCAAATAAGTTATACAATATTAAAATAAATTTACATAACATTATTATATTGTCAACTATTTTAAATGACAGCTATAAAATATTGGACATGGATCAAAACTTCCGCTCGGCTTTAAAAACAGATTTACGTAACAGTAATTAATCAGAGCTTCTCGAAATTTAGCTTCAAAACTTGCTTTCACTCATTAATTACTAATTGTTATTCGTGACTTCGTTGGCTTTTTGAAATAAAAGTTAGCTTATATCAGTTTTCATGAGACTATGTCTCAATCTACTTTTACTTTAATGTCAAATTTCATTAAGATCCGTTGAGCCGTTTAGTCACAGAGAGACAGACGTTCTTTCGCATTTACAATACTTTTACTATTTACGAGTCTGCATATCAAATTTCCGAAAGATCCCTTCAGCCGTTTAGTCGTGATAATCTAATAAACAGACTGACACACTTTTGCATTTTTAATATTAATGGAGTTGGATAGAAATGACGTAACTGCTTTGAAGTGGATACTAAATTTTAATTGGATTATACTGAAAGTGAAATGAAAAAACAACTTTTGATCTTTCCACTGGCTTGTCATAAAAATGTATAAACTAAAAATTATATGTACACACATGGCTGCGTTCGTGCCGGGCGGTCAGAAAATAAACGCATACATGTAGTATGCAAGAATTATCGACCTTGATCCTCCTTTATGTGGTAACTCGCTCAAGATCTCTTTAGCATGTACCACCTACCTACTTTTATGGCAGTGGAAGATTCGCTAAAATTTATCGAGATGAAAACTAGTGGGCAGACTCGTATTTGGAAGTAGAAATATTATTTACTATATATAAATAGTATAACAAAACGATTTATCTGCACTTAAAGATTTTATTTTTTTACTAATCCGAGATCTTGTGGAGTTAAATTAATATTAGCTTCAGGCTTCACATTTGTAATTACGCAACTGCACCAAAAAACATATATCCCAAAAAGTAGAAATGACTGATGATATTTTAATGCGATGCTAAATAAACTTCGGTACATCACGCTTATAGAAAACGTTTGCTCTCTAGCTGTCGGTATATCAATTGCCGAAAATAAGTTTTACACACTGTGATGGATATGGAAAATTTTGAAAAAGCCCATGCAGTAGTCTTTAGAGAAAACCTCAATTGTGCGCAGGAGGAAACTCCTCTGAGAATCCATTGTCCATTGGCTTAAAGATATATGCAATATATTAGGCTAGTTTACATTTATGTCAATGAAATAAAAACCCAAGCAGGTTTTAATTTCAGTAACAAATGTAAACTAGCCAAATATTAACACTTTCAACCAAGTGATTGAATGGTACAAATTTATTGCCACACATTAAAACAAATAGAGTACATGGCAATTAACAACTGAGAATTGAAACGATCCGGACACCAAACAAGCTCGAGTGTGTTTGTTTAATTAAAAACGACATAACACCATTACCTCATTGATGATATAATGCGATATGATATATTTGAGAAGATGTGAAGTTATTATTTCGATTGTGTTCGAATTTAACCGTTTGTTGGTGTTGCTACTTAAAATAAAGCTCCTAATAGAAGGGGTCCAAATTTTCAAACAGTATATTAAAATATTTGTTTAGAGGAAAATAGTTTTGAATAAAATAAAAGGCATTAGTCTATATTATATAAAATATATTGATCGGACATCAATATTTTTAAATACAATTTGCTTTCTAATGTTATACGTAATAATGAATTTATTTGTTTTAGTGTTGTGTACTGTGTTTGGACAGCTAAATCATTTATCACGAAATTAAGAACACACGAAGTAGTTTCAATGGGAGAAGTTCATAGACTACTTTTCCAGTCAATTCATATCGTCCTTTACAGATAGTAACAGATTATTTTTTTATTAATATTTTGGATTCTTGCATTTGCAGAAAAAAATACAGAGAAACAAAATATCTATCTACGAGTTACTTTATATACTTATATGTTTTTAGTATATCATATTTATACTATATGTCTGCGGTTGGTCTATTTTGTATCACTTACAGCAGTCAAGGGTTAATGATATAACATTTCGAATTCTCCATTCAATTAATGTAATAAAGATAAACATGCTATCCGATTTTATTATAATTATTTAACGATTGATAATAATAATTGCAACTGATAACCAAATATATAATAATTAAATAAAGCGGTCAAGTACGAACTGGACTCGCCTAACGAGAGCAATATTAAAAAAAAATTATAAATTGCTGTGCTTCTATTGTTGTTGGTCGTAGTCTGGTCTTTCCAGCTTCACTGAACGGAGTTTAGAGCAGAAACCCCTCAAAACTCGCAGAAGAATTCATAGAGCTGTTGAAGGTCAACTGCAACCTGATGCATACGACTTTTCCTTGAGGAAACCGTTAGGGGTTGAACCAGAGGTCAACCCCTAACGGTTTCCTGTCCATTGACATTTGTCAAAATCGGAAAGAAAAAGATCGGAGGATGTATAAATCGAGAGTTGTGTGTAACAATAAAAAGCTAATAGGACTTGGCTGTTTCAGCCTACTTTCTAAAGTGCTTGGTATGAAGACAGGTTCCTATTTATCGACTGCTGCAAAGACATGCGTAATTTTAATAGTAATATTGTGAACTACCTACCTAACCTCTTGATTTTGTACTCTTATAACATTTTTGTGTATAAACCCATTGTAATACAATAAACACTAAATATTAAACGAAGTTTATCACAATACATTAGTGAAAACCGCACTCCAATCGGTTTATGCGAGTCTGATATAAGCGCGCACAAACACCCAAACAAATAGACATTTTAATTATTAATTTCTTAGATTCTATTATGTTAATTATTTTCCCCAATAAATAAAGTAGTTTTGTCTTATATTGTCTATATTGCTCTTTTATGTACAGATAGATTAGTGTTAGTTTTATAATGTATTAGATTTGTGAGAAGAGAAGGTAATTTTTTATCTCATTCGTATTGATCAACTACTTTCAATATAAAAATGGTTTTGAATATACATACATTATATTATGGTTACATATATGGTTTAGCACGTGGCCAAGACATGGGCGCAACCACGTGGTATTCAGAGCCGCGCCAAATGTATCACAATAAGAATAATTACGACAAGGTCACCGCCTATCTCAGTCTACAATGTCATCGATATACAACTGATCCATTAATTTTTACAAACGAAAGGATATGTAGTTGCAAAACCACCTTTACAATTGTAAAGTTGGTCTTATTGTTAGGAAACATGTCATATCATCACGACTGTCATCTCAAATGTGGTAATAAGAGACTTTGTCAAATATAGACTTTCTGAACACACCACATGCACGATCACACATTACGGGTAATTGTTTATGACTCAATCCTACTAGGAATGAATATAAAAAATATTATAAAAAGGTTTTTTTTTACACATTAACGCACACGTTTGTTTGCTATATTTAAAAAATGTAACACTGATGTACTGTCCATTCAACAAGATGGCAAATATGTAGGTAATAATTAATGCAGATTTTTTAAATTCTAAAACAAACATGTACATTTCTTATAGACCGAGGCGAACTAGGTGAAGTTCACATATTACAAAATATTTTAATGCTATTACCATTAAAATGCAAAATGTTAATTCAGACACGCTCTGTTTCCGACAAACATATCGAGTCAAGGCCGGTTAGTGCTCCTTCATATATTTCATCTATTATTTTCAACCGAATTTAAATAGTTTTCAAATGGACTATTTACTTTGCAACTACGTTATCTTCCACAATTATATGGTATCTTAAGGATACCTATACTAATTTTATTAAGATAATATATTATACCTAATTAATAAAATATATTGAACATTATTTTTAATTACAATTTTCTTAAAGCTACTTCTAATTTTTTTTTTATTGACGACTAGACGCTGGCGACGACATATAACTTGATGTAAAAACTACCGCGAAAAAGGATATACCAGATAAATTAAGATAAAACTAATGAATCATTAATATTATATAATTAGTATAGTACACATAGTAGTAATATATTTTTATGGAAAATTTACTACCTAGTCGTCAGCACAGTATGCGTCATAATTCTAACAACTGTCTAATAGTCACGCACTTAGTAAAT